CCTCTCCTTCCGCCTCTCATTCCGCCCCCTCCATTCGCATCGCACTCCGGCTCTCGCGTCGCCTCTCATTCCGGGTTTCTTTCGCCCCTCAATACGCCTCTCATTACGCTATCTATTCGCATCATCCCGCCTCTCAATCCGCCTCTCATCCCGCCTTACACGCCGCCTGTCGTTCCGCCTCTCGTTCCGCCTCTCATTCCGCCTCTCGTTCCGCCTCTTTTTCCGCCTCTCATTCCGCCTCACATTCCGCCTCTCATTCCGCCTATAATTCCGCCCCTGCTTCCGCACTTCACAACGCCTCTCAGTGCGTCTCTCATTCCGCCGCTCATTCCGCCTCTCACGCCAAGTCTAATTCTGCCTCTCATTGCGCCTCTCCTTACTCCGTATTTAGTTTCGCCCACCGTTACGCCGCTCAAAACGCCTCTCATTAGGCCGTTGTAAGGCCACTTATTACACTACAGCCGTTCACTTAGTGCTCGTAAGGGCCTCGTACTGCGCGGGCCTACGATGTCGACGCGATTCTAGGGGCCCACATTCTGGCGGGGTAATCTCCCGCAAATTGATTAGGCTCACCTAATCAAGGGTCGGGCGTTTGGGCGATGAAAGCCGGTTCAGGGCAGCGCGGCGTGGGCTGTGGATTGTCTGGGATAGAGATGGCGGTCTATAGTCTATGACAGGTCGCGTTTTTGTCGAATGCGAATGAGATTGTAGCAGTGTAGGTCATGATGGGCATACGAAGTGTGGGGCATCGAAGTTTTGGGTGAGGCTTTCTAACCACTTAGCGTTCGTCGTGCTCAGTCGGGGACATGTGTCGAGGGAGGTAAAAACACTTGGTGCAGAGTGCCTTTTGATATATTGACGAGTTCCCAGTCTCATATTCTGAGCTGAAGATCCCAGCGGAATCAGGTCGACGGACCCGAGTTGCCAGGGTCGACGAGGGGGGTCGATGGACAGGGGTCTGACGAGGCGGGCGAGTGACGCGCGTGGCTTTTCTTCGTTGGAGGTGGACTGGCCCCCTCATTTTGCGCGTTCTCGTTTCTCTTTCATTTTTCTCCCACCTCGGTGCCTTCCATACTCCCACCGTTTCTTCCCTTAGCCTATAGCATAGCATCCTCGCTCTCCCGCCATGGCAGCCGGCCAGGAAGCCGCCGAAGCGGCGCCGACCTCGCTAGATTTCCCCCTGCATCTAGACATCGGTAGAGGACACCACGGCCAAGTTCGAAGAGCACGACTACGCCGTTCTGACAAACCCTATGCTAGAGTTTAACGCTCGTTGCTTGGGACTCTCGGTCCTCCAGTGAGTGTCTTATGGAGATGTCGTCGTCGACGGGCCTATTCCATGCTGGTCGGCCATGGCGGGGTTTCAATGCTGTCCAGTAGTATATGTCGACGGGCTTTAGAGTTCAGGCACATCACATCGGTGATGCCGACGTAATGCGTTTAGGTCGTCGACGACGCTGAGTTGTGCCGAAGTCGTTCGGCTCCCGTCATTCCACCGTCGTGGCCGCGCACCTATACCTCTCTAATTTGTTGTAATCATGCATGCGTGCGGGCACGCATGGATCCGCTCAACGGATGCAGGCGAGCGATTGTGGTCGATAGGAGTCGGCCGGCTTCGGGCGGCGATGGGTCAGGACGACCACACATGCTTTGCGACGATTTTCGACGCCGACGTGGCGGTTATCCCATTGATATCGAGGTGAGCAGGTTCGAGGTCCTGCTGTGTGCTGCAACCTGTGTCGGTGATTTGTTCTGAGCGCCATCGACGTGCCTTGTCTGTGCAGCATCGCAACCGCTTCCGGGAGCACATTGCAGCGTCGTTCTCATCCTGTGCCCCGGCGATTTGTTCAATGCCTCGGGGCAGGAGGTCAGGACCTCGATCCGGCACGCCGACCCGCAGACAGTGAAGGAGTGGCACCGCGACGAGGCGATCCGCGTGCTGAAGTGAGCTCGATAGTTTAGTCGACATCGCATACATTGTCGACACGGCGCGTGCACCGTGCTAACCGACCGTCCTTGCCGTGCTTTTGCAGGTTTTTCCGGACCGCTGTTCTGGCCGAGCTGCGGCGCGAGGGTAGGAAATGGGAGTGGGCGAAGCCGTCCGAAGACGAGGTGCAGGAGAGGCTCGTCGACTGCGACGAACCCCTTCGAGATGTGAGTTCCGGACGATTCGCCGTCATATGGTGTCACATCTACGCCGCCCTCATCCTTGCTCTCTGCACTGTTGTATGCAGAAAATTCCCGATACCGTCCGGGACTCGGACGCGGGCTCCGGCCTGCTAGCAATGAGCGCGTTGATCTGGGTTGTGAGGCGGTTCCAGCGCCTGACCGGCGACCTCCGTCGCATTGCCACCAGCATGGACAAGCCCACCGTCTCGGGGTTGAAGGCGCTGCGGAACGAGATGGTAGCCCTCATCAAGAAGCAAGTCCCGCTCATACGGTCGGGGAAAACCGTTGTTGCTTGCCGACGCCTGTGACGACGACGGCGAGGAAGTCCATTCTGCATCCATACCAGTAGGGGTCGCCCCGAACGTCACTGATGCGCGTGGCAAGTCGGGAGTCGGCGTCGACGAGGCCGATGCGGCCGCAGGAAAGGGGGTGACCGGGACTGAGGTTGTTCACGGGGATGATGATGGGGTCCAGGATCGCGAGGAGGAACGTGAGGGTGAGGGGGGCTCGGAGGAGTCGTCGGGGTCGAGGTCGGGGTCGGGATCGGGGTCGGGCTCGGAGTCGGAGTCGGAGGAGGAGGAGGAGCAGGAGACGCAGGAGCACGAGAGGCAGCACCAGGAGGAGCAGTTGGTAGAGGTGGAGGACGTGGAAATGGCGGAGGGGTACGTTGTCGGAGGAGCGGAGGAAACGGGTGGGAGATCGGCGGATGTCGAGAACGACGAAGGGGAGGGGAAGGGTGCGACAGCGAATATCGGCGAGGTCGGCGTGGAGGCGGCTCACGGAGGTGGTGGCATGGTCGAGGTCGGTGAAGGGGATAACGCCGCGGTCCCGGAGCAGAGGGGCGTGGATGTGCATACCGATGCCAGCGCGGAGAAGGCCGGCGGGGAGCGGTCTAGGAGGAAGAAGGCGGCGAGCGGTCATCCCGGTTCCACCGCGGCTGGGCGGCAGGCGCGGCTGGACGTCGTCGATCAGCTGAGGGCGGAGAACAGGCGATTGCGTGCAGACAATGCACTCCTTGAACGGCGGCTCGGTGAGCAGACGGGGCGGGTCGACAGCTCGGCGGCGGCATTAGCTGGGCTCCTCGAGAAGGTGAAGGGTTTGACCGCCCAGGTCGCCGACACCGACCGGAAATCGGAGGAGCGCCTCAAAGAGGCCACGTCGACCATGGCGACCACAATCACCTAGGGCCTCACCGACAACATGGACAGCGCCATTCAATCGGCCAAGTCCTTCGCCGAGCTAGCGAGGCAGACGCTGCTGGATCTTGACGACCCCAAGGGTACGAGCAGCGGTCGCACGCGCGACCGCGGTGAAGACAGTGACCGAGCACGTGACGGCAGAGGTGGGCGAGGCGAGGAAGGGGTTGGAGGAGTCGTTCATCAAATACATCGGCGCCGCGCAGACCAACATTGCCGCCGCCGTCGCGCCCCGCCTAGTCCAGCCGCCGCCGCCTACCGGCCCAGCGCAGGCCTTGCCGGAAGATTTCCTGAAGTCTTTCAAGGAGGACGTGCTGAAGGCGGTGACGGAGACCACGCAGCAGTCCTTCCTCGCCTCCGGACTGAAGATAATGGCCGAGGTCGTCGGCACGGTGGCGTATGCTCGGCGTGGGTCGTCGCCGTCGGCAAACGACGCCGGCCAAGCGCAACCTACGGAGGGCTTGAAGCTGGGTCACAAGAGGCGGGGAGGCGGCGGGGGGGGCGACGGGGACAATTCGGCGAACACGAAGCGGAGCAAGAGAGGCGGGGGGGTCTGGCGGCGGGGGGGGGGGACGGAGACGATTCGGCGGGCGCGAGGCGGACCAAGGGAGCGGCTGGTTCTCGCGTCGCCGGCGATGGGAGCATGGGAGCCGGCGACGGCAGTTCGTTGAAGCAGTCGGGGAAGAGCGTGGTCGACATCCTCATGAAGCACTGGGCTCAGGTTGGAGCGGCCAGCACGGGCCATGGTGGTGGGGGTCCCGCCGACGAGCATGCCACTGATGACGCACTGCCAATGGCTCCGCCTTCGGTCGGCGTTAAGCCACCACGACAGGGTAGCGGTGTGAAAGGCCTGCGCGACAAGGGGAAGGCCGCCGCCAAAACGGCCCCAGGCGGGTCCGCGAAAGCTGGCCAGGGCCCGAAGACAGGGTTGCGGAGGCGTCAGCGGTTCCTCACCAGTCTCCCGCGGGTGCACGCCATCCGACCGGACCGTCTGCCGGGCGACCTACCGACGTCCCGCGCCATGCCGACGTACCGTCTGCCGACAAGGTTGGCCGCGCGGGAAAAGGGGCGGCAGTTGCGGACGCGCTCAAGGAGCAGCTCAGGCTCCTAGCCGGCCACAGGGCTGTTCAACAGGCCCCCCCTGCTGTCGACGTCCCATCGGCCAGTGGGCCACGTGTAGTGCCGGTCGTCGCCGCCCGTACTCCTGCAGACCCAAAGTCCGCGTTGTTGCGCGCCCAGCTGGGCGCACTAGCGTCGACTGAGAGGACTCAGCAGGCTTCTGGCTCTGGCTCTAAGCCGTCGTCGGCGAATGTCGCACCACCCACCCATGTGGCAGCTGATGTGGAGAAGGCGGCGGAGAAGGGCGTTCGTGCCGCGCTTGCCACCGGCGGCGGCGCCGTTGAGGAGGTCCCCGCAGACGCTGATATCGCTGCCATACAGGCCCATCTGGATGCAGCCAATCCCCGAACCCTGGCCATCTCCGACACGGAACATGTGGAGCCTTCGGCGGGACTCGTCGGCATCGCGGCAGAGCCTAGTGCGACCGGTGATGCGGTCGGTGAAGGAAAGTCGGAACGGAAGTGGAAGGCGGGCTCACAGAGGAAGACGCGGGAGAAGTCGGAGGTGAAGGCGGCGGATAAACAGAAGGGGATGGCGGCGGAGACGGCGGCGGACAAAGATCGAGGCGGCATTGGGGAGGTTGAAGGGAAAGGGGAGAATCAGGAGAAGTCGCCCGGCGAGGGTACGTCGACGGGGAGGAAGGGGAAGGACAAGTCGGTCGGAGAAGGTGCGCCGACCGGGAGAAAGAGGAAGGAGAAGGCGGTCGGCGAGGGTTCCTCGAAGGGGAGAAAGGGAAAGAGGAAGGCGGAGGAGGAGGATGAGGATGTCGAGGAGGTGGAGGAGGTCGAGCAGGAGGAAGAGGAGGAGGAGGAGGAGGAGGAGGAGGAGGAGGAGGAGGAGGAGGAGGAGGAGGAGGAGGAGGAGGAGGAGGGGAAGGGCAAGGAGAGGAGGGGTCATGGCATCCGACACGATACCTCGGGCGACAAGCAAGGGTGGGTCGGCGAGATTAAGGTGCACGGCATCAATCGATACATCGGCAAGTCGCGGGACAAGATGGGGCTCGCGTACGTTCACTCCATCGCGTACGTCGTCTACGACGGTTTTGTGAGCAAGGTGCTCATGACCGAGCTCACCGGCTTGGACAGCGCCGAATTGGAGAGGTGGAAGGAGGTGTGGGAGGAGGTCAGGATCTTGCCGACAGGGATGTGGACGGTGATGTGGGCCCGGGGTACGCTCCTTCCAAAGACACGGTAAGTCGGTAATCCTCCGATTCAAAGTCGATGTCGTTGTCGTTGTCACTAATGTTCGCCCTGTTTGTGGTGGCGTGACAGGCTGACAGAGATCCTCGACGCGTATCGCCATTACAAGTCCACAGGCGATTGTCTCCACGCCGCGCTCCTGCCAGCGATATGGTACCCAGTCGATGCTAGCACCGAGGAAGGCCGGGAGAAGTCGGCGTTCATGATGTCGGCGATGATAGGTCGCGTGTCAATGTGCGCTGCATATGGGAAGACCGTTGCGGCAACGGCGAAGAAGGAGGGAGACAAGGAGGAGAAGATGGATATGGCGGCATGGGCGTTAGCAGCATCCGCATGCGCTGTGTGGTGCTTCGTCGAGAACGGCGATGCCCAGCTGGCGGATGCTGTGGAAGAAGGGAAGTCGGCGGCGATCATCGGCGGAGCGAGCCAGGCGACCGCCGATGTATTCGGAAAAGTCATGGAAGCGGTGCTGAAAGCCGAGATGAACAGGGACCGCCCCCTGGGAGAGGTTGCCTACAACGTCGCGCCAGCACTCCAGAGGACCGCCCTTGATAGGGTCTATCCAGGGGGGAATGCTGGAGTAGATGCCGACGTTATCGCTAGAGCGACGGTTGAGACGATGGCGTTTTGGGGAATGTGCCCCGTCGCCGGGCCGAAACTAAGAGCGAGGGACATCGCGGTGCCGATTGACGCGCAGATGAAGGCCGATCTTGACAACAGGGGGAGGAAGGGTCTGAGGGGCAAGAAGGGGACGAAGACCAAGGGCGGCACGGAGAAGGGCAAGATGTCGAAGAAGGACAGCACGACGGCCTAGTCGACGGCCTGCTAAGATTGAGTGCTGCGTGGACTCGATGATGAAATGGTCGATATCGTTTTCCTTGTTTGGCTGTCGGATCCCTTTGATGCTCTTTCTTTGTGTTTTTTTTTGTGCGTGCCTGTCTACTTTACGTAGGATGAGTAATGAACACATTAGCTAGTAATGATTGTCTACTTCAGTTTGAACGACATGTGAATGCCCCGCTAGGCCAAGAACAACAGGATCATTGTGAGAAACAAAAAGTCGACATCAGTATCAGTATGAAACATAGGCATGCTGCATCAACATCTACAACATGCAACAGGCCACAGCAGCAGGAGGCCTGGGAACATTCAAGCGGTTTTCTTGCGCTTGGTCGACTTATTGGTCGGAGGCAGCTGCCCGGCGTCATTTTTGCGGGCCAGATCGGCCAACGTCTTCTTCATCTGCTCAACCCAGGTGTCCGGGAACAGGTCGGCGACCCACGTTTCGGGCTTTAACCCGCGCGCCACGAACGCACAGGCGACACGAAGCTTGGAAAATTCCGTCTTGCCGAGCCCTTTGACGCCCTTACCCTGCCCAGCATAGGTCGCTACGGCGTCCGCGTTGAGCACCGTGAGGGCATCCGCGAAGGTCCCAATGCCAGGCGCCGCTATCTTGTTAAGCGCGTCGACGGTGGCTTCCGTGTCGGCTTCGCCGTCGCTCCTGCGAAGCTGGTGCACCGCATCGATGACCTTCATCATGCGGCGCACCCTCTTCCCGTGTGCTCCCTGCGAGGCTCCGTCGAGGAGGGTGTGGCGGTCGACGAATCCCAGCTCCCTGAACCTGTCGCACAGACGACGGGTGTCGGCGCTGGTGCACGAGGTCCAGAGGCGCCACGCGTCCTTGACGGTCGTTGCAGTCCGCCAAGGCTGCACTACGTTCAGCTCGTAGCTAGCCTCCTCGACCGTCTGTGGGGGTTTGTTGGGTTTGTTGGCTCCTCCACCCCTGCTTGCCGACTCCGCGGAGCCACCGACGCTCGGCGACTGGTCGTTAGCAGCTGGCGGCGCCTCCGGCATCCTTCGAGCTTCTGAAACGCGGAGAGCCTCGGTGAGGCGTGTTATCTCGGCCGCGAGCGACGCGATGGTTGCGTCGCGATTCTCGATCTTCTCCTCGAGGTCGAGCTTCTGGACCGTTGACCGCTCCCTCTCGAGCTTAAGCGTCTCCGTGAGGGAGACGACCGCGAACTGGGCGTCATGGCGGACCGATATCTCTTGCAATGGTAGGCGAATAACGGTGCAGATGAGGGGTTGTAGCGGTCATAGATAACATCGCGACGTCGGCATAAAAGATGACCTACCTCTGGCTGGATGAGGGTTGGATCTTGCCGCTTTTTTATGGTGTCGGTGTCGGTCTTCTCGACCCTCTTCGCCCAGTGCTGGAAGAGGGGAATCCGGCAGAGCTTGGAATACTGGATGTACGGGTGCCAAGGGGTGCGGACGAGTTTCACCGCGAGGTCCTCGGCGACAATGCGGCGGAACATCAGAAGGGTGCGCCAGAAATGCACGGCCGCAACGTCGGCGTTGGACCCCTTCTTCGCGAGTTCTTCTGCCTGCAGTTAGACATCAGACGTGGGTTATTTCCGTGGTGGATAGGACAGTACCATGCAAGCTTGGTCGGCACCGATAAACAAACCTTGTTGAGGAGGTCGTCGACGCCGGGGAAGATGTGCTCGGCGATGAGAGCGAGGAGTTCGTCTCCCGGTTCCACCCTACTGCGACCCAAGAAGTAGTCCTGCGTGAATCCCGAATAGCCGGCCTTCTTCATCACCACGCCGACGGGAATGGATGTGATGTAGGCTCGAGTCATCTTGTCGAGAGCCCAGTGACCCAGCTCGGCTATCTCGGCGCGAGGCGTACCTTGGATGGCCAACTCCTGCGCCCTGCCTGCCCGAGCGGCATGGACGTTCCGCTTGCAGAACACCCCGTTTGTCTTCCACATCTGCCTCGTCCATCGCTGGTGGCTGGGAGCTGAGAGTTCGCCCTGCTCGGGGTCGTTGCGGGCGAAGAACAGGTGCTTCTTGTACCAGAGCTCGCGTGTGCTGGTGTCGACCGGCGGAATGAGGTCGACGCCGTGAAACTGGCCGATCTGGTCGAGGACGAAGTGTAACCACAGCCCGGTCTCGCCGACGGCGCACAACTCCGCTTCTAGGTGCCGCGCCGCGTAGCTCTGTTGAAGACGCGCATCCTTCGATGTCTTCGAGTTCCGCGCGGCGACCACCATGACGACCGGCTGGTTATCCGGGTTCACCGACGAGGTGCTCGCCAGTCGGTACAGGAAGATGTCGGGGAGCGTTATCTCGCGTATGCTTGCACCGCGCATGAGGCTGTGGTGGGAGAGCAGCGTGAGCACCTTGATGAGAAGAAACCTCCACAGCGTCTGCGAAGGTGTGGTGAAATGCGGGCTCCATGCCGACGCCGCCCAAGCCGGCAGCACCCTCGTCATTATCTGGCAGAACTGTTCGGCGGTGTATGTGTCGCCGATGGTGCCGCGTCGACGGTCGGCGCATTTACTGTCGACATAACAATATATGGATATGAATATTAGGGCGAGGAACACAAATCGATGGCGACATAACACGGCGATGCATGCCAACTTACTCGAGGTCCCTCTGATTTTTCGTGCGGACCATGACCCGCACCTCCGACCGGACCACCGAGATTTCCCGCATGATGCCCAACTCCTTCTCCTTGTAGAGCGTCGCCTCCACCCTCGCCGCCATCTGGCAGGCCTTGATGCGGCCGAGGATCATGTGCACCGTGTAGGCTCGCACTGACTCGTTCGTGTCGGCGTCGATCTTGTACTCCCGCCTCATGAACTTGATGTAGGCGCGCAGTCGCGTACTAGTGACCCGGGGGCCGTGCAGCCATATGTGCTTCCGCTTGACCACCTTCTCGTTGTCCCAATCCTTGCTCTTGTTGTTGTGTGTCCAGTGCCCTATCTCGTCGACGTGCCTCATTTGTTCTGCTGTCGGCAGTTTGTCGCCAATTTTTTTAAGCATCTTCGCCGTCCACCTTTTGTAGTCGTATATCCATGAGGTGTAGGACTTGAGCGTGCTCTTGGCCTCTATGGTTTTCAGGTGGCGCATTGCCTCCATCACGAGCACGTCGACGCACGCGTACACCATATCTTCCTCTACGAAGTCGGCCGCCTTCCACATTTCTCGAGGGACCGACGTGTGCAGCAGATCCTCAAGCTCGTTCTCGTCCAACAGTTCCTCTATGAACGCACGTTCCCCCCTGAGTTTTTCTTCCAACGTGCGCGGACCTGCACCACGTCGGGGCCGCGGGTCGTCTTCGTCGTCCTCGTCGCTCGTCGATGAATAATCGTCCTCATCCTGGTCGCCCGATCCGTCCGGCACAGACGACGGCCCGGCCTCCCCTGCATCCGTCGGCGTCGACGTTTTGCGTGGTTTCGTGAACTCCCCTATTGTCACGGGCGTAACGTCCTTGGTGAACTCTCCCTGCGGGATTTGGGCCAGGGCGTCGAGATCGTAAAGCAGCGGCAAAGTCGACGAGGGGTTACTGGTCGGTGTACGGTCTACCGGGCGGACGTCCTCACCCTGGCTAGCGGGGTTCGGAACGTCCGTCATGTCGACATCGGCGGGGGGTGGGTTGGTTTGCGGCGGTGTCGAACGAGGCTGTCCTCTGGCCATGATACGGCGACCTAGGGCGATGGGAAGTCGGCGTGGTGAGGTCGATAAACTACTAAATGCGTATTCTATGTCGGCGGTATCTGGCAGGTCGGGACAGCAGACAATCCTACGAGAGGTCGGCGACCACGTCTGCCTACTATCACGACGCCGACGTTACGCCTCTAGAGAAAATCCAAGTGCCGGCCGTCAAGTCAGTGGTACAAAAAAAAAGCAATGGCACACACAATGGCAGGCGGAATGAGCGACCATTTCGGGGACCACGGATGGGTATGGTCGTGAGCGACTCCGCACCACTTGGCGCTCCACGCAAACCCCAGTGCACGACGCCGCCATGCATGTACGCTCGTGCGGCGGCGCCGTGTCCGACGTGCCACCAGGCGTGCATGGCTGCTTGCTTGCAGCGCTTCGCTCATCATGCTCTTTTCGTGGCTGCTACACGCTGGCTCTTTCGTGCGGCAACGTGGCGTGGTCCCGAATTAGGTGCACCTCGGTAGGTTGAGGTCGGGAGACACTGCCGTGTGGCACCACGATGATGCTCTTCTGGTCGACGCCGACATTCCCGCATCATCAGTGTCCACTGCACGTAGCCATAGATAGTGGACGGCCGGATTTCTCCTTGCGCATGTGAGCAACCGTTGGATGAATGCCGTGTGGTATGCACCGACCTTGCCACGTTCATGCGCGAGATTCTCCCAAGCGAAGCACCCCGACCTTCCGTTGGCCCGTCGTGTCCAACCTGGCAGACCTCGGTGGCCCCGCCATCCAGGGGACTGTCTCGGGCGTCCCTTTGTGGCCGCGTGGCGATCATCGCGGCCCGACTTGCCGAGCTGGTATTCTGACACGCGGCTGAGACGTCCTTCTCGGGATTGCCTCAGCGGAACTCGAGGTCGACAGGTCGTCGACCATCCCGAGGGCTCACCAGCACCGGGCCCAGCCAGATAGGCTGGGCTTTCCACGCGGAGGTCGTCGTGGGGTCGTCAACCACGAGGAAGGGGGTTGTCCGTTTTGAACCGCGAAAATGGGCGGCAGTTTTCGTCGGCTGAGCTATACTATGCTGTGTAAAACGCTTGGTTTGCAGAGACGAGAGGGCGACGGTCCCGTTGTCGCACGATGGGCGCATTCTCAGCTTTGTTTGTCGCGCAGGTGAGTTTGCCAACCCAACCTGCTTTGGCGTATTTGCTCACCCAATTACAGTGCACGTTGCAAACCCAAACCACCCCACCCACACTTTCCCGAATCTCAACCCTTGCATGGGTGTACTTTGCGACAAAGAAGTCTGTTACCCTATATAAAGCGTTTAACACTTGGTTGGAAGGGCGTAATTGGAGACGTGAGCTTTAAGGAGCCACAGAACAAGGCCACTATGTCGAAGCGTGTAACGTGGTGTCATGTCGAAGCGAGTAACGTGGCGTCATGTCGAAGCTGCTCGTGCTCGAACATTGCCGAACCAAAATTCCACACTCTGAGGAACGAATTAGCCAATCGTTGTGTCATCAAAGGCAAATCGACCTGAATCTGCAAACTGCCCACCGACATACTGTCTAGCCCGGAAAACTCCATTTCGAACTGTTAATAAATGTCAAAATGACGCTTGCGCGGAACCGCGTGATGAAAGGTGGCGCGTTCGCATTTCAGGTTTTACAAAAAAATCCCCGCAATATAAAAAATTCACGATGCCGAAGCCCGTGCCGCGGTAATTCTCTCGTCTCAACCAGAGCCATCAAAGCTGTATGTTGGTAACCACAGGGTGTTGACGAAACATGGAGATCGAGTTCGCATCACTCTACCTACAAGATTGATGTGTAGCGATGGGCTGGTGTTAGCGCATCTACAACGAAGACCGATATGGTGCGAACCCTGATCCAACCAGGAAATTTGTGAGGCGAAACAATTTTCGATCGTCATCTGTTCGCCACGCAAGTTACACAAGCATGGCCATTGGAGTTCCCAGTGCCTTGCTTTTCTGGTGAATGTTTCAGGACGACTTTTGTATCCGTCTTCAACTGAAAGGCGTGTCGCGCCGACACTAGCCTAGACTGAACTAGATCGTGCGGTTTCAGATACCGCGTCTCCTATTGAACCACCCCTCGAGACTCGATATCCGCATCTCGAGCGAGTGCTTCGCGAGCGTCCCGCGGCTGTCCCGCGAGCGGCGCGCGTAGCGGCGAGAAAGCCATCATGGCGGTGACGGCGGCGAACCTGTCGACGTTCGGCGGCATCGCGACGGTGTCGCTCGTGCACTCGCTCATCCCCACGCACTGGCTGCCGTTCAGCGTCGTGGGACGCGTGCAGAAATGGACCATCCACCAGACGCTCTCCATCAGTAAGGAACGCTTTTAATTCGGAGACATTTCACAACCAGTTGCGAGCACATTCTAACCATCCATCAGAGCATCTCCATTAGTAGGAAACGTTTTGAACTCTGAGTCTTCTCACAGCCGGATGCGAGCAGATTTGGACCACCGCCGATCGATCTCCATCAGTAAGCATTTCTCCAATGCTTTCCGTAGCTTTCTAACCATGCTTTTTTTGGCAAAGTCTTGCGCATAGGTCGTTTTTTGAGTCGACTCAAAAGTCGATTTTAGGCAACGGCTTGATACGCATAGGCTGCCGTTCAGTGACGCGATCGCGTGCAGAATTGGACCATACAGTCGACTCCGTCCGTTCGTAGCGGCACTGTAGCATGTCTAAACCTCCTCGATACATAAGGGAATCTTTTCTGCATTCAATCGCAATCGCATGGTCGCTTTGTAAGGCGCGTCCCCGACGCTGTAACGTGCTGGAGCATATATCGTTCTGGCCGTGTTACAAGTACCCCTTTACACAGTCCGCATTCCGCGTCTCACTGTCCCCTTGCCCTGGCCTGCCCTGAACTATTAATTCGATTTGAGGGTACGCTCCGGGCTTTAATTTGACTGTGGCTGCATCGGTAACCATGGACGAAACCCTACACACAGCCACTGGCTAGCATTGAGGCATGCCTTCGACCCTGGAGGAACTATGGTCTATCAGCTCAGCCCTAGCCTCGCCCTGACCCTCCTGCTTTTCCTTCCTCCTTCCTCCCCCATTTCCCGCCTACCCCTTCCCTCCTCCCTGCAGCGGCATTGGGAGCATTCCTGCACGTGCTATCCACGTCCATCCTCGGGTTCACCGCAGTCACCATGGCACACACGCTCGCAGGGGAGGAGGCAGTAGAAGCCATCGCGTCCCTCCTCCTGCTCCTCCTCGGCGCCTGCTACATCGCCCTCTTCCTCCTCACCCACCTTCCCTTCCCTGTAACCATTTCCTTCCCCCTGACCAGCGCCTCCTGTTTTGCCCCCTTCCAACCCTCCCCCCTCTCCCTTACAGCCGCGCTGGGAGCATTCCTGCACGTGCTATCCACGTCCATCCTCGGGTTCACCGCAGTCACCATGGCACACACGCTCGCAGGCGAGGAGGCAGTGGAAGCCATCGCGTCCCTCCTCTTGCTCCTCCTCGGCGCCTGCTACATAGCCCTCTTCCTCCTCACCCGCGGAAAACCCTCCCACTCCCACTGCCACGCGCACGCCCACCTGCCAACAACCATGGCTGCTGCTGCCGCCGCCACTGCAGCCGCCACCGGAACCTCCTCGCCTGGTGGCTCCGCTGCTGCGTCGTCGAAAAGCGCGAACGCGAGTGGGAAGCCGGAGGGGATGGAGAGGATCGCAGTGCTGGGGTTGGTGCTGGTTCCTGCGCTCTCCCCCTGTGCCACGACTCTCCCGGTGTTTCTGGCTATCAGTGACGCGTCGGTGGGCACCATGGCCATTGCAGTGGCCGTGCTGCTCGCCTGTACGCTCTTTGTCATGCTCACTCTTGTAGCGCTTTCCTTCTACGGGGCTTCACAGGTGAGCTTGCTTTCACATGTGGCAGCAATATATGTGATGCGCCCTTCAAGGCTCTCTGTTGCTGCTCGCCTGCACGCTCCTGTTGTCATGCTCACGCGCGTCGGCCTCTCCTACGGGGCCTCCCAGGTGAGAGAGATGGTCTGAACTGTGTATGACGCTCCATGCTGGATCGCAGTGGCAGTGGCTGTGCTTCTCGCCTGCACGCTCTTTGCCATGCTCACTCTCGTCGCACTCTCCTTCTGTGGGGCCTCACAGGTGAGCTTGACTTGTCTGTTTGTGATGCTCCCTGGTGGCTTGTGTCGTGCAGGGCTGAAGATTCAAGGGCAAATGCCCTTAATGCCCTGAACATTAAGGGTTGGGTTCGGCCCAGCTTCCGAATTTTAAGGGTTGGCTTTGAGGGCAGCCCTTTCCCGCAAAGTGCTGGTTGTGGGCCTAACCTGGATTTCAAGTGCAGATCCCGCGGCTAGCCCGTATCGTCACATACTAATACCTCCCTCCCTCCCATTCGCTCACCAGTCCCCCCACCTCCTCCCAGCCACTCCTCTACTTCCTTCTCCCATCCCCCTCAAATCCATCGACATGTTTCGTACCTCAGCCTATTGCCTAGCTGGCTCTTAGTAGTTTGCCTAGGATATGGTATCCTTGGCGAAGTGCTAAAAGTTGGTAGCCCTGATTTCAAGTGCCAGGTTTTCTCTCAGCCCAGAAATTTCAGGGCAACTTTTGGGGCACCTCAGCCTCTCAAGTTCTGGCTCCAAACCAATCGACAGCCCTGGTGTCGTGCTCTTCTCCCTTCTCTGCGTTGCAGGTGACGTTTGGGTGGCTAAGGCGTTACAAGAAGGTGGTTGCCATGGCTCTTCCCCCTTCTCCTCCCACCTTCCCTTTTCCCATCTGGCCTCCTGTCATGCTCACCCCCTCTTCTCCCAATCTCTTTTTCCGTTTTTTCATTTGCAGGTGAAATTCGGGTGGCTGGAGCGGTACGAGAAGCTGGTGGTGGGAGTGATCCTGTGCGCCGTGGGCATTCTCACTCACCTCTTTCACCACCATGACCACCCACACGGGCACCACTCACACGGGCATGCAGGGCATGCGGGGTCTGTGTTTGCACCAGGGCACACTGACATCATCACAGCTGGCACCATGCTGAGCCACCACCACTGAGTGAACTGGAGGCACTGCTGAGGGTTCTGTGCGCCTTAGGCATTCTGACTCACCTCTTTCACCACCACGACCATTCACACAGGCATTCACACGGAAATGAGGGGCATGGGTTACCACCAGCACTCGTCTGTGTTTGCACCGGGGCACACAGGCATCATCACAGCTGGCACCATGCTGAGCCACCACCACTGAGTCACGTGAAGCCATTTCTAGGGCATGAGGGGCACTTGGGAGGGGGACATGAAGGGCGCTTGGGGCACCACCAACACGCATCTGTGTTTGCATCGGGGCATACTGACATCATTACAGCTGGCACCACGCTGAGCCACCACCACTGAGTAAAGTGAAGCCATTACTAGGGTATGAGGGCCATTTGCAGGGGGGACATGAAGGGCGCTTGGGGCACCACCAACACTGGGCCACATTGGCATCATCACACCATGCCAAGCCACCAGCACTGAGTGACGTGAAGCCATCGCTATGAATCCACTGGCCACGAGACTTTTGCTAGCGATGCTGCTGCTGCCGCTGTTGCGGCTGGTTGCTTGATGTGTTGGGTTCAAAGTTCAGACACCCTTGAAGCCCAATTGGTTCTTTGCATATCCTGCTCATATGGTTATACGGTATTACGGTACTATATTATTATTGTGCATGCCATACCTTGTATGTCTGATGTTACCCACTGTTACCTACATGTAGTTGCTGACCACGAATGGAATGTTCATGAGTCATGACGTAACTTCAATCAGTAATGTAACAGAATTTCGTACTTTGTTATGAATCAACTTGCAGAGTGCGCAGTAAAACGAATATCGAGAATGATTGAGTACTGAACGAATAAACAATGAAGTAGCGAGGCCTAAATAGGGGAAAACCTAGCTAAGCGGGGGGTTCGGGATGGGATGGCTCGGTGATGGTTACGATTGGAGCGGAGGCCGACTCGGGAGTGGTTCGGTGCGACGAAATAGGAAGGTCAGGTTCGTCGCGTGACCCTCGGGATGGCCTCGCTAACGAGTGCCTCAGTAAGGATTTGTAAATACTTACATACTTTCATTTCTTCTAGATACACAAATGGTATAAGGTACCGGTATTGCCATTTTCAGCTGAAGGCCGCTACAGGAGCTCCCACATCTGTGGAGTCTGGTCTGGTACATGCAGGATCGCTATTTAGAGTGCAAATCTTGCACCCAGTAAAGGTAAGCACAATTACCAGCATATCAAATGCGCCTCAAAATCAGTGTTCTAGGTGCCTAAAATGCTATTTATAAAGCACCCTATTGGTGCTACAGTTAGCACGGATGCAGCAGAATGAGTTAGTGACTGCATCCAGTGGAGACAAGCGTGAGTGAGTCCCGTAGTCTGGGCGTATGGAGGGAAAGTCATCAATCCAGGGAGGGTAGTCTGGCTGGTAGCAGCAGCCGGTGCTTGCCTGAAGCACCCCTCAAGCACTGGAGAGGGTACGAGGCGTGTCTAGATCCCTCCCCATCAGCTCGTGGTGACTTTTGAGTCGACTCAAAAGTCTACGAGGCGTGTCTAGATCCCTCCCCATGCAACTCCCTCCCCATCAGCTCGTGGCATGTGACAGTCAATTGAAATTACTAGTTGAGGAATGGAGTCGTGCCCTAGAGTAGAAGGAGAGGGAGTTGGAGAGGTAAACGGAGCCGTGCACTCTAGCAGTGGCACAAGGTGCATGCACACCCCCTTAGACAGCAAACCCATTGCGTCAGATGGCTCGCGGCCTGCAAGTCCATCTCCATCAGTGCGTGACAGATGGCAGTCAAATGGCGTTGTTATCGGGAGAGCAAGTCATGCCAATCAGTAGAGGGAACGGGAGCTGTGCCCCTCAGTAGAGGGAACGGGAGCTGTGCCCCTCAGTAGAGGGAACGGGAGCTGTGCCCCTCAGTAGAGGGAGAGGGAGTCATGCACTCTAGCAGTGGCGGCAGGTGCACCTCCCTTAGACAGCACCCCCCGGGCGTCACAGATGGCTCGCGGCGGCTCCAAGTCTCTCTCCATGAGTGAGTGGCCCTGCAGGCGCTGCATCTGCTGGGTGAACAGATTGTCCAGCGTCTGATGGGAGGGTGGGTGGGGGGACGGAAAGTGGGAAGGGTGGCATGAAGGGAAGGTATGTTTGGATGCGGAGGCGTGCGTATTTGGAAAGGCCAGGGGAGGCGAATGCTCCAAGTCTCTCTCCATGAGCGCGTGGCCCTGCAGGCGCTGCATTTGCTGGGTGAACAGATTGTCCAGCGTCTGATGGGAGGGGTAGGTGGGAGGGCAAAGGAGCGGGGGGGGTTGCGGGACTTGTGGCTGTGGGAATGGAAGAAGAACCAGCTCCACGTGCCTCTCCATGAGCGCACGGCCCTCTCCATGAGCGCACGGCCCTCTCCAGAGGCACCCTCAAACCAGACACCCCTCCCTCCATTGTCTTGAGATGTTTCCGAACTATATCCTTATGAAGCTGTGGCTTAATCGAGGGTGATGGCGATAGTGCGTAGACGAGGGCAATAGCAGCTGTGCCTACATCGAGAGTGATAAAGAATTGTGCTTACATCGAGCGTGATAGCAGCACAGGCGCTTTTGAACCACGATACGCCCTCCCTCCGCTTCTCCAGGAAATGCGTCACCTCCCGCCCATACCGGTCCCACAGGCCCCTCGCTGCTTACTCACTGCCCTACAGCATTGACTTTTGAGTCGACTCAAAAGTCTTACTCACTGCCCTACAGCGTTGACTTTTGAGTCGACTCAAAAGTCTTACTCACTGCCCTACAGCGTTGACTTTTGAGTCGACTCAAAAGTCTTACTCACTGCCCTACAGCGTTGACTTTTGAGTCGACTCAAAAGTCTTACTCACTGCTCTACAGAGTTGACTTTTGAGTCGACTCAAAAGTCTTACTCACTGCCCTACAGCGTTGAATTTTGAGTCGACTCAAAAGTCTTACTCACTGCCCTACAGCGTTGACTTTTGAGCCCTCATGGCCACATCGACACAGACAGTAGTTCGTGCTTACATCGAGTGTGATAGCAGCAGAAGCGCTCTTAAACCACGACACCCCCTCCCTCCTCTTCTCCAGAAAGTGCAGCACCTCCCGCCCATGCCGGTCCCACAGGCCCCTTGCTGTTCCCACGAAGACACGGCTGCTCAACACTGCGTCAGCCTGGTGGGACGGGAAAAAGGGAGTGGGGGAAGGGAGAATGGAGAGGGTTGGGAACTTCAACACCTCCCTCCCATGCCGGTCCCACAGGCCCCTTGCTGTTCTCACAAACACACGGCTGCTCAGCACTGCATCAGCCTGATGGGAAGGTGGGGAAAGGGGCAGAAAGGCAAGGGGGGAAGTATCGTGAGGAAGCTCACTTGACGGTCCCTCAGGCAAGGAAAGGGTTGGGCGAGGGTGGGGATAGAGTGAAGAAATGGGAGTGAAGGCGGATGGGGGAGGGGATAAACGGAACTGGGAAGCAAGGCAAGAGGAGGGGGTGGTGGCGGTTCAGGGACAGAGAGTGGTAGCCGGAACGTAGTTATCTTACCAGAGAGTGGGTGCCAGGTAAGATAACCAGAGAGTGGGTGCCAGGTAAGATAACCAGAGAGTGGGTGCCAGGTAAGATAACCAGAGAGTGGGTGCCAGGTAAGATAACCAGAGAGTGGGTGCCAGGTAAGATAACCAGAGAGTGGGTGCCAGGTAAGATAACCAGAGAGTGGGTGCCAGGTAAGATAACCAGCAGCGATCCAATCAGGGCAGAGCGCGGTAGCAGCTTGGAGGTCATGTGGTCGCCTGCCTGTGCTGGGCTGCGAGTGGACATGCAGGGCATCTCACCTGGGCTATGAGCGCGGACAGTGGCTGCAGCTTGGAGATCATGTCGTCACCTGCCTAAGTGCAATCACAGGGGAAGTGCGTGCGAACAAGAGAGGAGCAGTCAAGAAGTCCTACCTGCGCTAGCAGCGACCCTATGAGCGCGGACAGTGGCTGCAGCTTGGAGGTCATGTCGTCGCCTGCCTGTGGGCGCACCTCCTTGAGCACTCGCTTCAACGACGTGGTTCGACCCAGCTGGGTCTGCAGGGGAGAGGTGGAGGAGGGAAAGGGAGGAAGGGGAGGGAAAGAGAGGGCGCATTTCAAAGGAATGCACCTCCTTGAGCACTCGCGTCAGCGATGTGGTTCGACCCAGCTGGGTCTGGAGGGGAGAAGGGAAGGAGGGACAGGGAGGAAGGGAGCGGAGGGCACGGAAGGGAGGGGGGGGGGGGGGAGCGGAACGAAAGGCACGTTGTGAGGTTCCATAAGGAATGGGCCTTCTTGAGCACTCGCTTCAGCGATGTGGTGAGGCACTCGCTTCTGCGATGTGGTGAGGCCTAGCTGGGTCTGAGGGAAGGAGGAGGGAATGGAAGGAATACAATGAATGCAGGAATAGAAAAGCTTGCCATGTTAATCACCTCACTCCCCTTCTCCCCAACTAGCACCCTTCCAGATACAACTCCTTTTCTCCCCCTCTACACTCACATTCTCGTATAGTTTCTCCACCACGTCTTGCAGCGTCGCCCTGTACGTTGTCCTTAGCTCCACCGTCACCTCACTCAGCATCTCCCCGAATAGCACCTCCCCAAATAACACCTCCCTCCCCCCCCCTCCATACTCACATTCTCGTATAGTTTCTCCACCACGCCTTGCAGTGTTGCCCTGTACGTTGTCCTCAGCTCCACCGTCACCTCACTCAGCATCTCCCCGAATAGCACCTCCCTTCCCCCCGCTACTCCCCCTCCCCCCGTCCCCCCTGCTCCCCCTGCTTCCCCCATCCCCCCTGCATCCGCCACTCCGCCTCCCTGCCCCCTCCCCCTCCCTGCCCCAGCCTCCCCCCATCCACTCCCCCCACCAGCGCCTCCCCCCATCCCAATTCCGCCCATCCCCCCTTGTCCCCTGACACCACCTCCGCCTCCCCCGCCCCCTCCCCCTCCGCCTCCCCCTCCCCCTCCCCCACCGCCAGCAGCAGCAGCCACTCTTTTCGCAGCAGCTCCCAGCATGGAAGCAGCGGCAGCAGCAGCACCAGCAGCACTGCCTCCCCCCGAGGGCCGCTTGGGTGGGGGGAGGTTGCGCTGGGGAGGGCGGATGAGGGAGGCTGGAGGGGTGTTGGCGACCCATTTTCGCATCCGGAGTTCTATTGTTGGGCGCAGGGTTTCGAGCATTCGCTTTATTGTGTTGAGATACACGCCCAGCTGCAGTGAGGGGGGGAAAGGGGAAATGAGAGGAGGGGGGGGGGGGGAGGGGAGGGAGCATGAGCGGGGTGAAGACAGGGAGGAAAATGAGTATTGGGAACCTTTCATTCACATTCTGAGCTCCACTGTTGGGCGGAGGGTCTCGAGCATTCGCTTGATGGTGTTGAGATACAGAGTATTTTTGAGAATTCTCAAAAATATTTTAGAGAATTCTAAAAAATACTCTGCAACATCATGTTGAGATACACGGCCAGCTGAAAGGGGGAGAGGGGTGGGAAGGGAGAGGCACGCAGCGGAAGGGAGGGAGGGAGAGGCAGGGCGGGGAGAGGCAGGGCGGGGAGAGGCAGGGCGGGGAGAGGCAGGGCGGGGAGAGGCAGGGCGGGGAGAGGCAGGGCGGGGAAGGCAGGGAGGACGATGGGTGTTGGAAACCCATTTGCCTGTGCTCAGCTCCCTCCACTGTTGGGCCGAGGGTCTCGAGCATGCGCTTGATGGTGTTGAGATACACGCCCAGTTGAAAGGAGAGGGAGGGAAGAGTGATGGAAGGTAAGGCGAGGTAAGGAAGGCAGGGGGAAGCAGGAGGGAGTGTGGCGCAACAGGGGGGGAGGAGAAGGATTCGAGCATTCAGTTGCTCTCTTCCCCTTCCGGCACTTCGCTCCCACTCTCTTGCCCCTCCTGTTCAAGCTAGACGCTGAGACGAAAATTTCTCACACTGACCTCACAAACAGCAAGTGACGGGCTCACCTCAATGGGAAGAGCAAGTGACGGGCTCACCTCAATGGGAACAGCAAGTGACGGGCTCACCTCAATGGGAACAGCAAGTGACGGGCTCACCTCAATGGGAACAGCAAGTGACGGGCTCACCTCAATGGGAACTTGGTACGCGAGTGTGGGGCGACGGCGGGACAGCATTCCAAGAAGCTTCTTTTTTGTGGAAGAGGGGGCGGAGGAGGAGGAGGGGGTGTTGAGGAGGAGGAGGAAGTTCTGAAAGTGAGAGGCGAGGGATGAAATGGCTGCTCGCTCCACATCGCACACCGCCTGCGATGGGGAAGCATGGAGCACAGGGATCGCACACAGACACACATGTCAACTATGTGAGGAGGAGAAAATTGTGAAAGTGAGAGGCGAGGGATGAAATGGCTGCTCGCTCCACATCGCACACCGTTTGTAATGGTGCACATGGGTGGGTAGACAGATACACATGGGAATCATGTGACTGTCAAATGGCCACTCAATGGGCACACTCTACATCGTGCACTGCCTGCACGGATTGCAACGGATGGACAGACGAACCATGGGATACGACGGACCCACCATACTTAACCATTGCATTAGCAGCCAGGTACAGAGGCCCCTTCTTTGTTAACCCACCCCTGTGCCCTGTGAACGCACCCATTCCCCTGACCCCCCCCCCCCCCCCCCCCTCCTCAACACACTCTCACCTCTTCCACCAGCAGAGTGTACTGCAGCCATCGCCCCAGCACAGAGTCGAGCTCGTCCAGCAGGCTGTTGATCACACCGTACACCCCCCACTCCCTCCCTGTGCCATGCCATGCATTCCCCATCGCTTTACCTAGTCCTTTTGTTCTCTCTTTCTTTCAAGACACTCTCACCTCCTCCACCAGAAGCGTGTACTGCGGCCATCGCCCCAGCACCGAATCCAGTTCGTCCAGCAGGCTGTTGATCACACTGTACACCTCCTCCATAAAAGGCGACGTGGCATTGCGGTCTGACATTGGCGCCAGGACTGCCCACTGTAGGGGGAGGGAGAAGGAGTGGGAGACAGGGGAATAGAAGTTTCAGCAGAAGAGAGAGATATCACACGTGGACTAGCAGGCTGTTGATCACACCGTACACCTCCTCCATGAATGGTGACGTGGCGTTGCGGTCCGACATGGGTGCTAGCACCGACCGCTGTTGGGGGGGAGAGACGTCCAGTTGTGAAACAAGCAAGGGAGGAAAGGGAAGAGAAAGAACTGGCGGCAGGGAGTGCTATCTCTTCCCTGCCAGGCTGGTGGTCGGTGATGGCACTGGCAGGCTGGCAGGCTGGCAGGCTGGCAGGCTGTTGATGAACTCCATGAATGGGAGTTCATCACCGACCACCTGCCGTCCACCTGTTGTTGAATGGTGAGGTAGCGTTGCGGTCTGACATGGGAGCTAGCACCGCCCACTGTGTAAGAGGAGGGAGAAGGAGAGACGGAGGGAGGGAAGAAGTGGGTGAGAGAGTGTGTGAGGCATCACACGCACTACCTCCTGTTGATCAACCCGTACACCTCCTCCATGAAATGCGACGTGGCGTTGCGGTCCGACATTGGGGTCCGACATTGGGCCTAGCACCGCCCGCTGAGGGGAGGCAGATGGAAGGGGGGAAGGGACCAAGAGAAGTCTCAGCGGTAGAGAGACGACTTTTGAGGCGCCTCAAAAGTAGAGAGACTTCATGGGATGGGATCATTGCACACACGCCTGCTGCTGATGAATCCATGCCGTACCCCTCCTTCATGACGGGCGGCGTGGCAGTCCAGTCTGACATGGGTGCAAGCACCGCCCACTGTAAGGGGAGGGAGGAGAAGGGGAGACGGGAAAGAGTAGGACGCGCATGGAGGTTGAACATGTTGAGAGACCGAGGATGGAAGAGCAGGAGGAGGAAGAGAAGGCAGAGGAAGAGGAGGAAAATGGGTGATGAGGAAGAAAATGGGTGAAGAGGAGGTAAACGAGGAGCACAATAAAGAGGAAACAAACGAAGGAGAAAGAGGAGAGTAGGAGGGAGCACGTGGAGAGTAGAAAAGGGGCAGCACACACCTTGGGAGCTCGACAGACGTCCATGAGGGTGTGGGTGCGCTCTCTGATCCATGCCTCCACGTACACTCCAAACAGCTCCCTGGCGTCTAGCCCCCCAGGCACCTTGCTGGTCTCGGTAATCAGGGGGTGAGGCAGGGAGAGGGAGAGGGGGAATGAGGGTCGGACAGAGGGGGGCGAGAGAGGGTAGGTGACGATCTAGTAGGTAGGAAACTGGCTTTGCTTGTCTTGCATGCGTTTGCACCTACCTTGGAACACCCTATAATGAATACAAGGTCCGTTCGAGAATGAGATAATGAGAGAATGAGAGAGGGCTGATGCGCTCTCTCATCGATGCCTCCACGTACACTCCGATCTGAATATCTCCCTTGGGTCTAGCCCCCCAGGCAACTTTCGGATTGAGATTGATGCACGAGACGAGGAGATGCAAGGGAAGCTGCAATAATGCAGGGGAGAAAAAATAGACAAACCCAACCCATAACTAATGCAACCACAATGCTTCACTCACCCCACGCCCCACAGCATGAGCCTGTCCTCCACGTCAGCAGTGGCGTGCAGCAGGTTCTTGACATGTGGCAGCGGGTGCTGAGGTGGCACTGCCAGCAGGAACTGGTTGACTCGCCGCTGCAGCTCCACCATGTACACGCCAGCTGTCAACTCGGGTAAGTCCACGAAGCTGACGTGGCGTGGGGATGAGATGGGACGAGGAGGGAATGAAGGGATTGAATGAGAGAAAGGAGGCATCCTTTCTGCAGGGATTGAATGGCGTGCTCACGGTGGGGGGCTTCTGCAGGTATATGGGAGTGACTTTTGAGAATTCTCAAAAGTCACTCCCATATAGCTCACAGTGGGGGGCTTCTGCAGGTCCACCATGAGCACGCCAGCTGTCAGCATGGGTAAGTCCAAAAAGCTGAAAAGGAAGGAGGGGAAGGAAGGCGCTCATTGCCTCCCCTTCTGCAGCGCCACCATGAACACGCCAGCTGTCGGCTTAGGTAAGTACACAAAGCAGGAAGGGGGTTCAAAGGGCGACGAGGTTGGACGGGCAAATCGAACCGGCAAATTCAAGTAAAATTCCGTCTGGCGACGCCTATGCAGCGCACCATGCACATGCCAGCTGTCAGCTCAGGCCAGTCGAGAAAACTGGGAGGGGGATCAAAGGACGCTGCAACAGAAACACCCCCTTTCTCCCTCACCCCCACTCCTTCCCTTGTGGCCACAAACGAAGTCCCACCAGGGCAGGATACGTTGGTTGTGAACCTGCACCTCTCTCCACATGGCCACACACGCACTTCCACCCCCATCCCACACCAGGGCAACGCGCACACACTAATTCACAAACAAGCACATACATCACCCCACCTGGGCAGGATGTGCTGGTTGTGAATGCATATGTCCGCTTGCACCTTCCTCCACATGGCCACACACACGCACCACCCCCACACACGCACCACCCCCACACACGCACCACCCCCACACAAGCCCACATTGTAGCACGGACAGCGTCCCACCTGGGCAGGATGTGTTGGTTGTGAATGCCAATATCCGCCTGCACCTCCCGCCACATGGCCACACATGCCAGTCGCATGCTCCCATACGCCTCCCTCTGCTCCTCCATATCCCCCCCTTCCCCTCCCCGCATTGCCCCCCTCCCCATTCCCCCTGCCCCCATTCCCCCCGGGCCCCCTCCCCCTCTCCCCCTGCCTCCCCCCGGACTGCACCCCATGCCCGCCTGCCCCTGCGCCTGTGCCTGCATGGTGCTGCCCCCAGTGCCAAGGCAGAACGTGCCGTTGACGTATTCGTCGGTCTCTGACAGGTGCTGCCTGCACCGCCGCCGCGCTGCTGTCTGGAAACAGGGAGGGACGGGAGGCAGAGAGGCAAGCAGGGTTTAGGGCCAGAATGTGCCGTTGACATACTCGTCCGTCTCTGACGAGTGTTGCCGGCACCGCCGCCTCGCTGCTGTCTGTGTGGGAAGGGAGTGGAGAATGGGGAAGGTGAGAACGCAAGACAAGCACGCAGAACGTGCCGTTGACATACTCGTCGGTTTCTGACAGGTGCTGCCGGCACCGCCGCCTCGCTGCTGTCTGGAATGGGAAGAGGAGAGGGGTAAAGGGTAGAGAGAGGAGAAAAGAAGAGGTAGGAAAGTCAGGCAAGCAGCAGGTCATTGCGCAGCCGAAACAGGTGCACCATTTGCCAATAACACCCCACAGGTGCACCATTTGCCAATAACACCCCACAGGTGCACTATTTGCCAATAACACCCCACAGGTGCACCCCGCAGAACCGCTGTTGTACCTCGGGCAAGCAGCAGGTCATTCCGCAGCCGAAACAGGTGCGCAGCAGGGGGAATAGCCGGCGCCATTAGTGACCTTTCCCACATGATCTGCCAATACCCCCCCCTCCCCCCTCTCACCTGCAGGTAACCGCAGCACTGCTGCTGCACTTCTGGCAGCACTGCTGCTGCACTTCTGGCAGCACTGCTGCTGCACTTCTGGCAGCACTGCTGCTGCACTTCTGGCAGCACTGCTGCTGCACTTCTGGCAGCACTGCTGTTGCACTTCTGGCAGCACTGCTGCTGCACTTCTGGCAGCACTGCTGCTGCACTTCTGGCAGCACTGCTGCTGCACTTCTGGCAGCACTGCTGCTGCACTTCTGGCAGCACTGCTGCTGCACTTCTGGCAGCACTGCTGCTGCACTTCTGGCAGCACTGCTGCTGCACTTCTGGCAGCACTGCTGCTGCACTTCTGGCAGCACTGCTGCTGCACTTCTGGCAGCACTGCTGCTGCACTTCTGGCAGCACTGCTGCTGCACTTCTGGCAGCACTGCTGCTGCACTTCTGGCAGCACTGCTGCTGCACTTCTGGCAGCACTGCTGCTGCACTTCTGGCAGCACTGCTGCTGCACTTCTGGCAGCACTGCTGCTGCACTTCTGGCAGCACTGCTGCTGCACTTCTGGCAGCACTGCTGCTGCACTTCTGGCAGCACTGCTGCTGCACTTCTGGCAGCACTGCTGCTGCCACTGCGCCTCTCAAGTGTCCTCCCCTTATCTGCCAACACCCCCACCCCAGTCTCACCCGCAGGTAACCGCAGAACTGCTGCTGCACCTCTGGCAGCAGCAAGTCGTTCAGCAGCCCAAACAGGTACACCGCAGGGGGAATCGCCGGCGTCACCAGTGCGGCCGCCTCTGCCCCCACCAGCGATCTCCCCAGTGCCCTTCCCTTCCCCAGCCCTTACACCCCTGCTCCCAGTAATACCACGTGAAAGAAGGAGTGTTTTGAGACGTCTCAAAACACTCCTTCTTTCATGCGGCCGCCTCTGCCCCCACCAGCGATCTCCCCAGTGCCCTTCCCTTCCCCAGCCCTTACACCCCTGCTCCCAGTAATACCCCAGGCTCACCTGCAGGTAACCGCAGAACTGCTGCTGCACCTCTGGCAGCAACAGGTCGTTCAGCAGCCCAAACAGGTGCACTGCAGGGGGGATCGCCGGCGCCACCAGCGCTGCCGCCTCTGCCCCCACCAGTGATCGCCCCAGGGAGGCACACAGGTGGGTGGCGGAACGGGAAGAGTCGGCGATGCCTGAAGGGGAAGCCTCGCTGAGCGACTTGTAGCTCTCGAAGGTGAGTTGCAGGAGGTCTCCTACTCTCTCCTCCATGTCTGCTAGCATGCGCGCCTGGGGTGGGGGAGAACAGAGGGGTGCAGAGATGTGGGTAGCGGTGCAGAGGAGTTGGCGATGCCTGAAGGGGAAGCCTCGCTGAGCGACTTGTAGCTCTCGAAGGTGAGTTGCAGGAGGTCTCCTACTCTCTCCTCCATGTCTGCTAGCATGCGCGCCTGGGGTGGGGGAGAACAGAGGGGTGCAGAGATGTGGGTAGCGGTGCAGAGGAGTTGGCGATGCCTGAAGGGGAAGCCTCACTGAGCGACTTGTAGCTCTCGAAGGTGAGTTGCAGGAGGTCTCCTACTCTCTCCTCCATGTCTGCTAGCATGCGCGCCTGGGGTGGGGGAGAACAGAGGGGTGCAGAGATGTGGGTAGCGGTGCAGAGGAGTTGGCGATGCCTGAAGGGGAAGCCTCACTGAGCGACTTGTAGCTCTCGAAGGTGAGTTGCAGGAGGTCTCCTACTCTCTCCTCCATGTCTGCTAGCATGCGCGCCTGGGGTGGGGGAGAACAGAGGGGTGCAGAGATGTGGGTAGCGGTGCAGAGGAGTTGGCGATGCCTGAAGGGGAAGCCTCGCTGAGCGACTTGTAGCTCTCGAAGGTGCGTTGGAGGAGGCCTCCCACTCTCTCTTCCATATCTGCTAGCATGCGTGCCTGGGGTGGGATGAGAACAGAGGGCTGCAGAGAGGTGGGGGGTGGTGGGGGGAAGTGGGCAATGGGTGAAGCGGAGGGGGAAGCCTCGCTGAGCGATTTGTAGCTCTCGAAGGTGAGTTGGAGGAGGCCTCCCACCCGCTCTTCCATATCTGCTAGCATGCGCGCCTGCGAAGGGGGGAGGAGAGTGCGGTTGCGGGGAGAACAGAGGGGTGCAGAGCGGTGGGTAATGGTGCTGAAGCAGATCGCCCACTCTCTCCTCCATGTCTGCTAGCATGCGCGCCTGTGAGTGGAAGGGAAGGAGGGCGAGGAGGAATTTTGAAGGAAACACACAATGGCACGGAGAGGAGGGGGAAGTGGGCAGGAAGAGAGGCGAGAGGAGAGATGGGAAGTGGGGTGTGGAGGAGAGGAGGGAAGTGGGATGAGGAGGAGAGGAGGAAAGGGGAAGGTGAGAAATGTTAAAGAAGCACTGTGGATGATACACCGGTTGTGTACGCTTCTCAACCGTGTTGCTGTCTCTCCTATTCAGTCACTCTCAAATACGAGTCACTCACCTCCTGTTTAGTCACACTGCTGCCGTCTTTTGAGGCGCCTCAAAAATCTTCTCAACCGTGTTGCTGTCTCTCCTGTTCAGTCACTCTCAAATACGAGTTACTCACCTCCTGTTTAGTTTACTTTTGAGGCGCCTCAAAAGCAGTCACTCTCAAATAAGAGTTACTCACCTCCTGTTTAGTCACACTGCTGCCGTCACTGTCGTGTGCATGCAGCACCGGTGCCAGCAGCTGGTGAATCAGAGTCAGGCAGTCGGCTGTTGGTGTTGCCACGTCCATCACTCGCGTGAGGTACCTGCGCAATGGGGCAGGGACGTACAGAGGAGAATAGGAAAAAGGGAGAGATGGGACAGGAATGAGGTAGTGACTTGTGCAAGTTGCACGGGCGCCAACAACTGGTGAATCAGAGTCAGGCAGTCGGCTATGGGTGTTGCCACGTCCATCACTCGCGTGAGATACCTGCGCAATGGAGCAGAGCCGGACATAGGTGAATAGGGATGGATGGGGAAATGGCACCACACGTGCATGTAGCACTGTCAGAGCAGACATGTGAATGCAGCACTCAAGCCAGAGCAGATGCGGACAGAGGTTAGCGTAGTGTTGCGAGCCGCTATAGCAGGTGGCGACCTGACCTGATCGCACAACCACTCCCAGGGGCGGAAGTTGCATATGGGGGTGGGGTGTTGGGCTAAGAGGCAGGGCTCGAGAGCTAAGCGCACCTGAGCTTGGTGTAATGAGGAGAGACGCCATAGCAGGTAGCGAACTGGTCGCAGAGCCACTCCCAGGGGCCGGAGAGGCGGAGGTTGCGCGCGTGGAAGCCCTGAGCTGCCATGGCTGCTGCGAGCACCCAGTCGTATGCTGCTGACTCCGTGATTGGCTGACACTGGTGGGGGGGTGAGACAGAAGAGGGGAGAGAAACGGGCAGGAGCATGCATGAAGATTAAGGTAGTGAGCATGGAAGCCCTGAGCTGCCATGGCCGCCGCGAGAACCGAATTGTATGCTGCTGACTCCGTGATGGGCTGGCACTGGTGGGGGTGTGAATGAGGGTAACAGTGAGGTATAAACACCAAAAAGGAGGGGGAGAAGGTGAGTTCACTGGACTGAGAGGTGCGAGCGTGGAATCCCTGAGCTGCCATGGCTGCTGGCAACCAGCACCCAGTGGTACGCGGATGACTCTGAAAAGGGCTGACACTGGCGGTGGGGGGACAGAAAAGAGGAGAGAAAGGAGCAGCAGTTGTCATCATGGCAGCATCCATGAAGGCTGAGGTTGGGAGAGATGATAACTAAGCTGCCATGGCTGGGGTTGGGAGAGATGATAATTAAGCTGCCATGGCTGCTCCCAACACCCAGTTGTACGCTGCTGTCTCTGAGATGGGCTGGCACTGGGCGTGGAGAGGGGGGGGGGGGAAGAAACGATTTTAGGGTGAATAACACTGAATGGTTTTGAGACGTCTCAAAACCCTTCGTCATACACGTGAGTAACACTGAACGGTGAGTCCTGAGTACAGCATGGTTCAGGTGTATCCCTGTGACCACCCCCTGACCACTGAACGGTGTGTTCTGAGTACAGCAGCAAGCAGCGACTCGAAACGTACTGGGCTTGCACCGATCCGCCCCTGCTTTCGATCTACGACTGCATGGAGAAACACACCCTGACAGACACAGCTGCACTCGATCGCACATGATCGCACATGATCGCACATGACCGCACATGACCGCACACGTCCGCACATTGCCTCACACTCTCACACACCCTCGCGTTCAAGTCGACTCAGCAACAACAAAAATTTCCACACACCTGCGTGCCATAGTCCCTGGCACAGGGCACGAGAGACACGGCGAGCTGCACGCGAGCCACCTCCTGCTGACACGTGTCCCTCACTGCCAGCCAATGGCAGCGCTGCGACAGTGACACGTGGGCACCCGGGTGCTGAGATGGTCGAGTGCGACAGCGGAGGGAGAGGGACAAAGAAGAGGGGAAGAAGGATTGAGGGGTGGGAGGGGCGGGGGTAGAGAAGCGGCAGGCAAGAGCAGCGGTGAGACAGCCACACTTTCGATTATGGCTTGCTTATTTGCTACTTGCCACCCACCCGTTCCCCCCTGATGATACACCCACCAACCCCGTATCACTCTCCTGGTCACCCCTTATCACTCCCCTTTCGTCCATGAGAACAGTTGCTGCCACCGCTGCGTTCCCCCAGAACCAGCTGCTATGATCACTCCCGCTCACCACTTGTCACTCCCCTTCACCCATTGTCACCCCCCTTCATCCCGTTTCACCCCCCTTCACCCCTCATCACTCACCCCTTCGTCCATGAGCGTAGAAGCAGCCACTGACGCCTGTCCTCTCGACCCGCTGCGATCATGCACCTCCACCACCACCTCTTGTCTCTCGCTCTCCACAGGTCTGATTGGAAGTGGGGCGAGAGAAGGCAGAGAGGGAAGCGAGGGATGAGATGGAAGCAATGGCACAGCGGCAGCCACTGTTGCCTGTCCCCTTAACCCACTCCGATCATGCACCTCCACCACCACCTCCTGTCTATCGCTCTCCACAGGTCTGATTGTGAGTGAAAATGGTGGGAAAACGGGGGTGGGAAGATAACAGAGCACTGGTATGATTTGAGGACTGGGGAGGGTTGATCGCAATCTCCTCCTGTCGATCGCTCTCCACTGGTCTGAATGGAAGAGAGGGCAGAGAGGGGAGAGTGGGGAGAGAGGAAAGAGAGGGCAGGGATGGAGTGAGGTAAAGGTGGGGCAAATGCACCTCCACTCCACTGTTGGCTGCCCACTTAACCCACTGCGGCCATGCACCTCCACCGCCACTTGTTGTCGATTGCTCTCCATGGGTCTGCAGGTGAGAGAGGAATAGGGGCGAGAGAAAGAAGAAGGGTGGGGAGAATAAGGGTGGGGAGAAGAAGGGTGGGGAGAAGAAGGGTGGGGAGAAGAAGGGTGGGGAGAAGAAGGGTGGGGAGAAGAAGGGTGGGGAGAAGGCGCAAGTGGCCTGCCCCCCTGCAGCACCCATTGCAGTCATCCTCCACCACCACTTCTTGTCGATTGCTCTCCACTGCACGGGTCTGAATGGAAGAGAGGTTGAGAACGGTGGAGTGGGGCAAAGGGGCACAAGTGTGGGCACAGGTGTAAGGTATGTTAACTGCCTCCCTGCACCCACTGCTGTCATGCACCCACTGCTGTCATGCACCCACTGCTTCCATGCACCCACTGCTGTCATGCACCCACTGCTGTCATGCACCCACTGCTGTCATGCACCCACTGCTGTCATGCACCCACTGCTGTCATGCACCCACTGCTGTCATGCACCCACTGCTGTCATGCACCCACTGCTTCCATGCACCCACTGCTGTCATGCACCCACTGCTGTCATGCACCCACTGCTGTCATGCACCCACTGCTGTCATGCACCCACTGCTGTCATGCACCCACTGCTTCCATGCACCCACTGCTGTCATGCACCCACTGCTGTCATGCACCCACTGCTGTCATGCACCCACTGCTGTCATGCCCCCACTGCTGTCATGCACCCACTGCTGTCATGCACCCACTGCTGTCATGCACCCACTGCTGTCATGCACCCACTGCTGTCATGCACCCACTGCTGTCATGCACCCACTGCTGTCATGCACCCACTGCTGTCATGCACCCACTGCTGTCATGCACCCACTGCTGTCATGCACCCACTGCTGTCATGCACCCACTGCTGTCATGCACCCACTGCTGTCATGCACCCACTGCTTCCATGCACCCACTGCTGTCATGCACCCACTGCTGTCATGCACCCACTGCTGTCATGCACCCACTGCTGTCATGCCCCCACTGCTGTCATGCACCCACTGCTGTCATGCCCCTCCACCACCACCTCCTGTCGACTCAACAGTATGTGTTGGGTATGTGCTGTGTGCAGCATGGCTTACATTACAGGTAAGGTTAATCCAATGGTGGGTGGGTGTTTTGGGTTTGCGTGGTACGGAAAAATCTTGGGGGTGTCTGCAGAATGGCTTACAGGTTGATGCAGTGGTGGGTGTTGGGGTTGACCCTCCGTGCTTCACCCGCCTCCTCTGATGGGCATCGCACGGCCACCAACACTCCCTCTGGAAGCAGGAAGGGATTCAACAGAGAGAGGAACAGGCAGAGGAGAATGGAATGGGCAGAGGAGGGAGTGGAGCAGTAAAGTGGTGTGAGTTGCAGGAGGGTTGACCCTCCGTGCTTCACCCGCCTCCTCTGATGGGAATCGCACGGCCACCAACACTCCCTCTGACAGCAGCAAGAGAACCAGCATCATCGTATAAAACTGCATATCTGTACCCTGCCTGAATTAATGCAAAGGACCGGCTAGAGGAGTAGGCAGAGGAGAATGTGAGCAGAGGAGGGAGAGACGCAGTGGTGTGGTGCGGTGTGGTGTGGTGTGTCTTGCGAGAGGCTTGGCCAGTTGCGTTCTAACAATTCCTCCGATTGTAAATTGCACGGCCATGGCCATCAGAACCAGATCAAATCACCTGAAGCACCAGAAGGATCATGTGACGCTACAGGCAAGGGATACAGGGGAATCACCCGGGCCACATGACCACTCACCAGGAGCAGCAGTGGTACCTTCGGCGGCCAGCCCTCTCAGATTCGCCATGCCCCCCTTGATCTGTCTTATCGTGTTGCTTACCCGCCCCCTCCTCTTCCTGTCCCCTCTCTTCCCTCTTTCCCCCTTCACCTGGAGCAGCAGTGGTGGCTTCAGCAGCCAGCCCTCTCAGATTCGCCATACCCCCCTTGATCTGTCACCCCTGCCCCTGAGGGACAGGTCTGTCAACCTGATCTGCCTTATCGTGTTGCGCACTGCCCCCACTGTCCCCCCTGCCCTCCCTGTAACCCCTGCCCCTCCTGTCCCCCCTCACCTGGAGCAGCAGTGGTGGCTTCAGCAGCCAGCCCTCTCAGATTCGCCATGCCTCCTTTGATCTGCCGCATCATGCTGCTCACTGCTCCCCCTGCTCCCCCTGTTCCGCCTGTCCCCCCTGCTGCCCCCCCCGCGCTCCCCTGGTTCTCGCCTTCCCCCTGTCCCCCGTCCCCCCCTCTCCCCTCATCCCCCTTGCTTGTCATGCGCACCTTGCGCACTGGGGGATTGGTGGGGGATTTGGAGGAGATGGAGGGAAGATTGGGGGAAGATGTGATGAAAACGGCATGGGGGAGATTGAGGAGAAACGGAAGATTGAGGGTCAGCGAGAGTGAATGAAACACTTTCCTACCTACTACAAAAGGAACACAGTGTGAGTGTGAGTGCAGCGCACCTTGCAGCTTGGAGAACCCACGCACAGGGAATGAAATGAGCTCTCATCCCTCCCATCCCCTCTCTCTCACATCACCCAGAGTCGGAGCCGCACCTTGCAGCTTGAGCGTGCCAATGCTGCGGTTCTTCTTCCGAGCCGACGAGTGGCCGTACGGCGAGAGGGGAGAGCTGGAGAACCCATGCAGGGGGGACGAGCTCTCATCTCCGTTTCTCCCTCCTCCTGCTCCTGCTCCCCCTCCTGCCCCTCCTCCTCCCCCCTGCCTGTCACTGGCGTCTGCCACGTTTCGAGCACTCACAGGCACCAGCATGAGTGGCTGGAGACTGGGAGGGTGCGTGAATGGGAGGGGAGGGGGAAAAGAGGAGAGATAAGACCAGAGAGCCAAGACCAGAGAGCCAAGACCAGAGAGCCAAGACCAGAGAGCCAAGACCAGAGAGCCAAGACCAGAGAGCCAAGACCAGAGAGCCAAGACCAGAGAGCCAAGACCAGAGAGCCAAGACCAGAGAGCCAAGACCAGAGAGCCAAGACCAGAGAGCCAAGACCAGAGAGCCAAGACCAGAGAGCCAAGACCAGAGAGCCAAGACCAGAGAGCCAAGACCAGAGAGCCAAGACCAGAGAGCCAAGACCAGAGAGCCAAGACCAGAGAGCCAAGACCAGAGAGCCAAGACCAGAGAGCCAAGACCAGAGAGCCAAGACCAGAGAGCTTCTGTCTGCTGCGTTTCAAGCACTCACAGGCACTAGCGGCTGGAGACTGGGGGGTGGAAGTGGGAGCAAGGTGAAGAAGGAAAAAAGGGGGAGGGAGATGGTGGGGAGAAGGGTTCGTTATTGCATGATACACTCTAAGTCAAGACTCACCTGAAGAATGTGCGCAAGGAGGCACAGCCGAACAGGCAGCGTGTTGCATCAAAGAAGTGGGCGTGGGGAGACCCCTTGGTTTCTCACTCATGGCACCGTTAGCACTCGCGGCACCACACTCGTCGCAGAGGCTCACCCGAAGAATGTGCGCAGAGAGGCGCAGGCAGCGTCTTGCAGGAAAAAGTGCGCGTGGGGTGACCCCTTGGATGCTTCGTCCATGCACATGCGCACACATGCATCGTATGCCACCGTCGCACTCCACCGCTCTTCAGCACTGCATATGGAGCATGGTGCATGGAGCATGGGCCATGGAGCATGGGGCATGAGGCATGGGGCATCAGGCATGGGGCATGGGGCATTGGGCATGAGGCATGGGGCATGGAGCATGGGGCATGGAGCATGGGGCATGAGGCATGGGGCATGGAGCATGGGGCATGGAGCATGGGGCATGGAGCATGGGGCATGGGGCATGAGGCATGGGGCATGGAGCATGGGGCATGGAGCATGGGGCATGGAGCATGGGGCATGGAGCATGGGGCATGGGGCATGGGGCATGAGGCATGGGGCATGGGGCATGGGGCATGGGGCATGGGGCATCGGGCATGGGGCATGGGGCATGGAGCATGGGGCATGGAGCATGGGGCATGGAGCATGGGGCATGAGGCATGGGGCATGGAGCATGGTGCATGGAGCATGGGGCAGGGAGCATGGGGCATGGAGCATGGGGCATGGAGCATGGGGCATGGGGCGTGAGGCATGGGGCATGGGGCATGGGGCATGAGGCATGGGGCATGGAGCATGGGGCATGGGGCATGGAGCATGGAGCATGGGGCATGAGGCATGGGGCATGGAGCATGGGGCATGAGGCATGGGGCATGGAGCATGGGGCATGGAGCATGGGGCATGGGGCATGGGGCATGAGGCATGGGGCATGGGGCATGGGGCATGGGGCATGGGGCATGGAGCAGCATGGAGATCACAGGTAACGCTCGCAAAGTGGGTTCCATGTAAGGTAAGCAGCACGGATACCAGTAACTCTACCTGGCGAGTTGAATGGGTTTGACAGCAGGCGGTTGAGCGTGCCCATGGTTAGTTGGCCTACTCTTGAGACGCCTCAAAAAGCAGTGTGGTTACCACAGCATAGGCGGTGTGGTAACCAGTAAACCTACCTGGCGAGTTGGATGGGTTCGATAGCAGGCGGTTGAGCGTGCCCCGTGGTGCGATGGGGCGCGGTGGGGGTGTGGGGAGACAGAGGCGCGTCTGCCCCCGCACTCTCCGCCCTGCTGGGAAGGGCAAAGAGAGGGGGGAAAAGGGAAAGGGGAAGAGGGGAGTGAATGCCCGGCGCGGCGATGGGGCGTTGGGAACTAAGAGGGAGGGGCGCACGAATGCTCCTGTGAGACGGGCGCGGCGCGGGACTGTCCTAAAAAAAGACACTTCAAAGTAGCCCGTGATACAGCCGCCCAAGTAATCACCGCGTTTCGAAGCTACACACTCGTTATGCCGCGCCCACATGCTTACCTGCAATAAAACTTTTTTTACCCCGTTCGTAATTCATTTATATCCCCGCTTTACCGCGTTCGCATGGCATGCACGCGTTATACCGCATGCCTCTGCTCCCCCCTTATCTGGTCATACCATCTCCCCACTCCTAAATTGATCATCGCGACAAACTCGCGAGCATGCGATCTGCGCGATTCACCTCTGCGACGCCTGCGACGGCGAGTCCGTCGTTGCGCCCGATTCCTCCCGCACGGTGCTCAACCGCAGCGCGCTTTCCCGCCCCAGCCCTATCGCGGACCTCCCCCCGCCGCTCCACCTTCCGCTGCTCATCCGTGGCGACTCCGCGCTCTCCCGCTCCCCGCTTCCGCCCGCCTCTGGCCGCTGCGGCTGCGGCGCCGCGCGGGTGGGCGCGCCGGGCGCGGCGCGCGCGGGCGGGCCGCCGCTCATGGCGGAAACGGGCGGCGCGCTGGGGGTCGTACTGCTGGCGTCGCCGCGACTCGCAAGACTGTCGCCGCCCTGACGCTGCTCCTGCCCGTGGCTGTAGCTCCGGCTGTAGCTGGGATCGTTGCTTCGATTGTAGCTGACACCGTTGCTTCGGCTGTAGCTCTGGCTGTCTCGTCCACTATCCCGTTGACTGCCGCGTTGACTGTAGCGTTGACTGTCTTTCGGGCTGTAGCTGTCGCGATGTGGTGCAGGCCCCCCCACCGCTCTCAACACCGCCTCATCCGCCTCCTCCTCTTCCTCCTCGTCCCGCTCCCGCTCTCGCGCACGTTCCCGCTCCTCCTGCTCCCAGTCGTCGATTCCGCCAAGATTCGCGCGATCGTCGTCAGCGTCTCTCGCGTCGCCTTTGACCATAGACGACAGGACGTTAGGTGCGAATTCTAAGGAATGATCTAAGAACGGCTCGGCTGCAAGATCGTCGTCTTCTTCCGCCTCCTCGTCTTCCTCCTCTTCCACGTCGTTAACCTCCACTTGGCGACTGTTACCGACGCTCGCGGCGTTCGCGACGTTCGCGAAGTTAGGGTTCCTGTCGCCCAGCACGCCGTTGCTCCACGCGCCGCTTTCGTAAAAGCCGCTCTCCCGCTTCGCCCCCGCCACCGGCTTCGATCGGCTCTGCAAATCCGGAATCGCGGAGCGGCCTTGCGCGTCGTACGGCGTTTCCTCGCCCGTACGACTACGTTTCATCTCCTGCCGGCTCATCTCCCACGTGGAGCTCCCCATGTTGGATGACACTCGGCTCTTTTTCACTCCAACCGGTCCGAAATCCTCGTTACCGTTCTCGTCCGCCCACGCTGCTGCCTCCTGCCCGTAATCGCGACTCTCCATTCCCATATTGGGCATATCCATTGATTCGTACGCCGCGCGTCCTGCCGCCACGGGTTGCTGATACTGGTGCTGCTGATCCATCCCTCGCACTCCGCGCGTGCCTTTGCTCCAGCCGCCTCCTTTCATGGCGTCCCGGCGAAAAACACACGTGGCCTAACTTGGATTTCCCTGATTGCCTATCAAGCTAAGCTAGTAGTCAGAACAGCTGGAGGAAACGCATTTCGGTAACTACAAGCCGACACAGAGGGTCCAATGCCATGCAGAGCGCGGCGTGCTTTGGCGGGAAAACCATTTTTGAATCTGTTGATTTTGGTTGCTGTCAGTAAGGGCGTGTCCCACTTCGTTTTGGAAGAAACACAAGTTTTTTACGTAATCTAGAGTCAGCAAAAGAGTGTACACTCTGACGAAAACAACACGCAGTACGTCAGCTCTAGTGCAAAATGAACTTTCCCACGCGGACTCACAACCCCACCCACACAAGCCCACCTTCCGAACCAGAATTCACCTGGGCCGCGAGCGGTAACCCGCCCGGTGGGCGAATTGTCCGAGCAGAATCTGACGGAGCTCACGGGATCCCTTTGCGATTGTCGTTTTTATCGCTAAACTGTGGGTTGGGCAATTTTCAGCATGGGGTAACGGACTGCAGAACGCATTACGCTATTGTCGCACGTACCAGGGCTGCGGTTTTTGCACGTGGGAAAAACGCATCTTTTGACGTCTACACTTCACCACAGTGGCGCGTCATCGTGGAGTTGCATCTACAGTATCACTGTAAGGAATTTTGCTAATTCCTTACTGAGGCACCGCTTACGCATACATTTCCAACTTTTCGGAGTTCACGCTCGGTCCGACGACCTCGCCTCCCGAACATCCTCCGCGTCGCCTTCGGGTTTTCCAAACCCAAACCTACACCCAACCCTCGCACGACTTCGCGACCTCGGGCTTAGCTAGCCTTGCTATATTATGCCTAGGCCCCGATGTTTGCTCAGTAGTTGTAATCACTTCCGCGATATTGTATTCTGCGCACTCTTCTTTCATACAACTCATAACACCTGGTATCAGAGCTACTTTCCTAGGTTACCCTCCACTTTCCGGGGTAGTTTAGTACGGGGGTGCGATAGGTTTGGTGGGCTGCAAAGCGGTCGGCTGAGAGATAGATACGATTATCTCGCTCCGACTAATAGCGTTTGCGCCTTCATCAAAACCAGAAAAATCGCTGTTAACCCCCTGCCCGTTAGACGAAGCCTGCGACACATGGTCCAGGCGGAGTTAAACGAGCTCATGCAACAGTTTCGGGCGTTGCAGGCCAACATGCAGACTATGTCTGGCGAGTTGGAGCGCCTGAGGGAGGAAAACGCCGAGCTACGCCAGACGCGAGGTGAAGCGCGTCAGGAGTCGCCCGCCGTGGATGAAGCAGGAAGCAGTTTCGTACCTAACGACGAGGTCCTCAGCGAGCTACAGAACTCGCTGGACGCTGAAGACGAGCGGACAGCACGAACGCAACGAGCACAAGGGACGCAGGAGCAACAGCCACAGCCGAGGCAACAGTCGCAGACGACGCCACGACAGGCACCAGCGACAACCCCGGTGATGGCTTCAATGGCGCCCCCGTGAGAAGAAGTGAACGAGAATGAATAAACTATAAATGAAGTGAGTACAAATATGAAACCCTAATTGGGTTGTACCCCCTATGGGATACCCCACTATAGCCTACACAACAGCATAAGCTATAATGTTCTGACACACCCCCATAGGCAAAGTGGGGGAGAACAAGGGGTCACAAGACCAGTCAAGCAAAGCAAAGCAAAGCTCAGGGTGGATCACAAAGTCACCACACATTCCGAGCACAAGTTCAAAGGCCAAAAGGCCAGTTCACATGCAAGATCACATATAGAGATATACAAGAGTCAAACAAGCAAGAGCAAGAGTATATATAGGTGAAGGTACAAGCAAGGTCAAGAAGTGAGCAAGTGAGACAAGACAGGCACAAGACCCAGCTGCGTGCAGCAACGCTGATGATCACAGGGCGCAAGTGCCTTGGTGAAGACATCAGCAGTGTTGGCCTCAGAGGCCACGTACGCAAGTCGCTACTGTCCACGCTGCTGCAGCTCACGAGCAAGAAAGTAGCGGAGAGCAATGTGCTTTGTCCTGTGCTCCAGTCGCTGCTCTCGACACAAGGCCAGCATGGCCTTGTTGTCTACGTACAGGACTGGAGGAGAACGCGGCGGCTCTCCAAGGTCGGTCAGCAGGTAGGTGAGCCAGCGAAGCTCCTGGGCAGCCATAGCCCCCGCGTAGATCTCAGCCTCACAACTGGAGCCGAGAACAGAAGACGAGCGGGTAGCCCGCCACGAAACAGAGCCGGAACCAAGGCTGAAGGTGTAACCCTGTGACGACCGCTGCATAGCCTGGTCGTCAGCCCAAGAAGCGTCCGCATGCCCAGTGAGGACCACTGGACTGCGCCCTCCAAGCACTAGCCCCATGCCCGACGTACTGCACAAGTAGCGCAACACCCTCTTCGCTGCAGCCATGTGCTCTGGTCGGTGTCTCCCAGGAGCAACATAGCGTGCAAGAATGCTAAGAGGGTATGCAAGGTCAGGTCGTGTGCAGGTCATCAGGTACATGAGGCAGCCAACAAGCTCTGCATACGGGCCACTCGACTCTACGGACTCATCCGAAGGCAGAGCTGAGAGCGAGTGGCGAGTAGGCAGAGGAGTGGCCTGAGGCGAGGAGTACGTGAAGCCGAGGCGCTGAAGGACCTGCTGCACCATGTGTGACTGAGTCAGGGTAATGGTGCGGCGTGCTCTGTCCCGGGTGATCTGCAAGCCAAGGTAGCTGCGCAGTTCACCCAGGTCAGTGCACGTGTGTCTCTTCTGCAGCTCGGACTTCACGTAGGCGAGTCCAGCAGTGTTAGCTGTGGCAAAGACCAAGTCGTCGACGTACACGAGGATGTAGAACGGCGGCAGAGAGGTGTCAGTGCGCAGAAACAGCGACGGGTCGGCAGTAGAAGGAGCAAACCCAAGTGCCGCCAGCGTAGTCCTCAGTGTGTCGTGCCACTCACGTGGCGCCTGGCGGAGACCGTAGACTGGACGCCGGAGACTCCACTGGGTACCAGGAGGGAAAGACCCAGTAAAGCCAGGTGGGCGACGCAGCCAGATCTCCTCGTGCAGGCTGCCCTGCAAGAAAGCAGTGCTAAAGTCGAGAGAGTGCAGCTCGTAGTCACGGTGAGCAGCAACGTGCAGCAGTACCCGAAGAGTGGTCATCTTCGGGGTGGGGGAGAAGGTCTGAAAGTAGTCAACTCCCTGCCGCTGACTGAAGCCACGAGCCACGTAACGTGCCTTGAAGACAGGCGGAGAACCCGGCGGCCGCTTCACCCTGAAGATCCACATGCCACTGACTATGTTCGCCCCAGGAGGGGGAACAGCGTCAACGTAGGTGCCTGTGGACTTCCAGGAAGCCATCTCTGCATCCATAGCTGCCTGCCACTGAGAGGATTAGGGACCCTCTATCGCCTCCGCGTAAGAGCGCGGAGTCGGGATGTCTAGTGCATCCGGGTCTCCCTCAGGGGCTAGCAGTACAGACGCGAGATGAGGTGAAGCGGCGACCAGACACTGGAACTCCTCCTGCCTGTCCTCAAGTACGTCCGTGCCAAGGGCACACTCACCCCCGACGGACGGAGGACAGACAGACTCAAACTCAGCGACAAGACCAGCAGCGTAGTCTAGACGACAGCGCGCAGCAAAGTCGACGAGCTCAGTGACAAGGGCAGACGCAGCAGAAGACTCGAAAGAAGGGTCAGTGACAGCAGTAGCAAGGAGACGCGTGACAGTAGGACTGGCAGCACGAAGAGAGTCCGACTCCGGGTCGGCAAGGGCAAGAAGAGAGGAAGCAGGAGGAGAAGGCAACAGGGCACGCAGAGGAGCAGTGGACGGACGCAGAGACATCCGGTGCGTGCCAGGGACAGGAGGAGGACGCTGACGCGAACCGCGACCACTAGTGCGCGCAGTATGGACAGGCGACGCAGGACGAGACGCAGGCTCACGACACTCAGTAAGACCTCCAGTCGGACCAGCGTAGGGAGAAGGAGCAGGCAAAGGGGAGGCAGGCTGTAGCTGTGACTGGACAGGCTGTGGACCCTCTAAGGGAGGAGGAGGAGGACCAGGGGAAGGTGTAAGACCAAGAACCTGCTGCAGGAGCGGAACGAAGTACGGTCGGGGCCGCGCGGCGACTTCAAAAATAGCAGGGACAGCACCAGTACCCCCAGCAGGAGTATCCGCTACATCATCAATTCCAGGAGCACCTCCAGTAGCTCCAGAACCCCCAGCAGCACCTCCAGAAGCCCCAGAACCCCCAGCAGCACCAGGAGCACTGCCAGCCGGACCGCCAGCGGTAGTCTCAGCGCCAACACCCTCAGCAGTACCAGCTCCAGAAGAACCTTCAGGCCCAGCAGCTCCAGTACCCCCAGTACGAGCACCTCCGGGACGCGCGGCAGCAGTACCCTCTGCAGCCGAAGAGCCTCCAACACCAGCAGCACGCCTCCAGCGCCGGGCAAACCACTCACGCAGCTCCTGTGGGGAGAGTGGCTCTCGGCGAGACGAAGCACCTCCAGGCGGAGAACCGCCAGGCGAAGAACCTCCAGGCTCAGCACCCTCAGGCAAAGCACCTCCAGGCAGAGCACCCCCAAGCACAGCACCCCCAGGCTCAGCACCCCCAGGCCCAGCACCCCCAGGCTCAGCACCCCCAAGCCCAGCACCCCAAGGCTCAGCACCCCCAGACTCAGCACCCCCTGGCTCAGCACCCCTAGGCTCAGTACCCCCAGGCTCAGCACCCTCAGACTCCGCACCCCCAGTCTCAGCACCCCCAGGCGTAGCACCTCCAGTCCCAGCACCCCCAGGCTCAGCTCCCGCAGCAGCACCAGAGTCACCAGTGACCTCGACAGGCTCAACCGCGTCTACCTGGGACGCACCTGAAGGGGCAGGACCCTGAGGTGGGAGGGGGTCGACCGGGGGGGGACCTGGTACCAAGAAGAGCGGGGGCGGGGGGAGGGACGGAGTGCGGTAGGGGAAGAGGCGGTAGTAGGGTACCGACTCGTTGAACGTGACATCCTTGTAGGATAGAACACGTCGAGAGGTGGGGTGGTAGAACTGCCACCCAGGGGCGTCGGGGGGGAACCCCAGGAAGACGCAGGGAGCAGCGCGAGGGGACAGCTTGTCCGCAGACAGGTCGCGGACAAACGCCCGAGATCCCCAGACCCGGAACGCCGACGCATCGCCAACCTTCCCCGTCCACAGCAGGGCTGGGGAGGTCTCCGGCCTAGAGACCCTGGGGTGGAGGTTGATCTGATGCGCCGCGTACCTGACCGCAAACGGCCACAGAAAATGGGGGGCAGCCGCATGCATCATGAACGTACGAGCAACGTCCATGACCATGCCAATGCGGCGCTCTGCAATCCCATTTTGCTGCGGTGAGTCCGGAAGCGTGAAGGTGTGGCGGATGCCTCGCGCACGACAGTAGGCACGCAGAAGGCCAGAGGAGAACTCTCCGCCTCTGTCCGAGTGCAGACGCAACACAGGAAAGTCCGAGCTGAGCTGGAGAGGAGCTGCGCGGATCCAGTCGATCAGCACCTCAGTGACATCACCCTTGTTGCGCAAGGGGAAGACTGAGGTGTAACGCGAGTAGTCGTCAACCACCAACAGGAAGTAGCGCTCGTGATCGAGTCCATCGACGCGGGCAGGGCCCCACACGTCCATGTGAAGCGTCTGCAACGGAGCCTCTGTCGGAGGAAACTGGGAGGAGTGAGGGGCAGTACGCTGGCGCCCCTCGACACAGGGGACACAGGCAGGGCCAGGGCCCTGAGGAAGGGGAGGGAGGGACCGGGGGAGACCAGACACAAGAAGACGGGAGGCCATGCCTCTGAGGCGAAGCAGAGAGGGGTGGCCAAGGCGGTGGTGCCAGAGGAGGGTCTCGTGAGACAGACAGCGACACGAACAGGGGGCAGACTCAGGACCAGACCTGGACGCTGCAGCAAACACCTGACCAGACGAAGAGACTCTACCAGACTCAGCACCTGGAGGAGAAGCAGTGGTCAGTGTGTACAGGCTCGACCCTGGCTGACGTGTAAACGTAGCCAGGTGGCGACCTGTGCTAGCCTCTGTGCAGTGTGTCACCCGCTGACGAGCAGGAGTGAACTGGTGGACACCCGCATCCTGTAGGTCAGCACCACTCACCAGGTTCGTAGAGAACGAGGGGAGGTAGAGACCAGACAGGGTGCCAGAGGGAGCCGCCGGACACGGGAGGACTGTGGAGAAACGAGACAGGACAGGACCCCCAGAGGGGTCAGCCAGGGACACCGCAACCGGCCGACTAAGCGGCGTGAGAGTGGTGCAGTCCCGAAAGAAGGAGCGAGACGCCCCAGAGTCAAGGGTGAAGGTGTGAGAGGCCGAAGCCGACACAGTACCTGAGAGTGCAGACTCATCAGTACCTGAGAGCACAGACGCACTGGCACCTAGAGCAGCAGCCTCACTGGCACCTGACGCAGCAGTACCAATGCCCGGGTCGGGCGGGAAACACCGGTAACAGTCACCCTCATCACTAACAGTCACAGCATACATGGCAGCAAGGATAGCATCAAAGTCAAGATCAAAGATAGCTACACCAGCCCTAGACAGCTCTCCCCAGCGGGGGATCGCAGAGGCCTCCGGAAACTGCTGGCGCCAAGCGTCGGTCAGGCGGGCAAAGCAGCGGCGGGCGGTGTGGGTGCCCCCACACTGCTCACCCGCACGGTCGCCGGTGCGAAGGACGTAGGTGCAGGGACCGAACGCCCCACCACGCTGACGCTGCATGTACCACTCACGGAGCTGCTGAGGGGCGGGGACGTCGCGAGAGCGTTGCTGCTGCTGCTGCTGCTGGCGCTGACCACCCCCAGTGCTGCTCCGCTGGGACGAGCCACTCCGACCACCTCCACCACCGCCACCCCCGCCTCCGCCGCCACCGCTGCCACCGCCACCCTCTCCCCCGCCGCTCCCACCGCCACCTCCACCGCCACCTCCGCCGCCACCTCCGCCTCCACTGCCGCCACTAGTACCTCCACCCCCGCCCCCACCTCCACCGCCACCCCCACTCCCCCCGCCGCCCCCACCTCCTCCGCCACCGCCCCCGCTAGCTCCACCCGCTCCCTTGCCCCCCTTGCCCTTGCCAGAGTGGCGCCTACCGCTGGGGGCAGACGCCGCACCGACCGACTCTAGACCAATGAGGTCGGCCGCAGCAGCAGAGGCGACAGAGGGTAACAGGGGGGGAGGAGAACACCCCTCAAAGATGGGGGTGCGGGGGTCACCACGAGAGGCCCCTACAGCGACTATGCTCTTCTCGGCCGCTAGCAGGGACATCTCGAGGAGGTCGATAGTGAGGGTGGTGGGACAGACAGAGAGAAACTGGTCCCTAACAGCACGAAGGGACTCAAGGAGACGGGTGACTAGAAAGTAGAGGGTGATGTACATGGGAGGGGGGTTTTCGGCGCAGAAGGCAGCAGGAAGCGCAGCTCGGTAGCGAGTGTCACTAGCGCGAAGGTGGGTAAAGAGGTCAGCGACTGTAGGAAAGGCAGCAAGGTCAGGAAAGAGGTAAGGTAGCATGAGGCGGCTCAGTGTAGCAGTGGAAGGGGAGGAGTAGCGCGCAACTACAGCGTCGTACAAGGCCTGAGCGGTCTTGCACTGACTAAAGTGTGCACGCTCAGAGGAAGGGAGGTGGCGACGCACAGCAAGACGTGCAGCAGCATCGCGTGTGGCCCACTTGGAGCGAACAGTGGGGTCAGCATCAGCAGGAGGGGCAGGGACAGCGCCAGAGGCAAAGTCAAAGAGAGAGATGTCGTCTACTGAATCGCACTGCAAGTACAGCTGCAGGTCCTTGACCCAGACCGCAAAGTCAATGGCGCGACCCTCAGCGTCAAAGGCCAGGACACTAGGGGTGGCCATGATAGCAGCCGACAGTCTCACCAGAGAGGAAGGGTCGAGCAGCTCAGTAGGACAGCAACACGGCAGCTCAGCAACTCCGCCGGCCCAGGAGTAGCAGCAGCCCCACAGGACCCGGCGCTCGGCACCGTAGGCGGCTCGGGCGGCTCAGGCGGCTCGGGCGGCTTGGGCGGCTCTGGCGGCTCGGGCGGCTAGGGCGGCTCGGGCGGCTCAGGCATTCAGCGGCACGGGCGACTCGGGCGGCTCTCTGTTCGGGCGGCGCTCGCGGCTCGGGTGACACGGGCGGCGCGGGCGTCGTGACGGGCTGCTCACGGGCGGCTCACGGGCGGCTTCACGGGCGGCTGCACGGGCGGCACTGGCGGCTGCACGGGCAGCTGAACGGGCGGCTGAGGGCGGCTGCACGCTGGGCGGCTGCACGGGCGGCTGCACAGGCAGCTGCACGGGCGGGTGCGCGGGCGGCTGCACGGGCAGGTGCGCGGGCGGCTGCACGGGCGGCAGCACGGGCAGTTGCCCGGGCGGGTCGTCGGGCGGCGCACAGGCAGCTCACGGGCGGCTGCACGGGCGGCGCGTCGAGCTGCTGAGGGCGACGCACGGGCGGCGCACGGGCTGTGCAAGGGCGGCGCGTCGGGCGGCTAGCAGGCGTCGGGCGCGCGGGCGCTAGGGCGGCGACGGGCGGCGCTCAGGCGCTAGGGCGGGCGGCCGTCAGGCTCTAGGGCGGGCCGCGCTCAGGCTCTAGGTCGGGCAGCGCGCGGGCGCTAGGGCGGGCGGCGCTATGGAGCTAGGGCGGGCGGCGCTCAGGCTCTAGGGGCCGTTAGGGCAGATCGAAAAAAAAGGAAGAGAAAGGGCCCGGAGGACGCTCCGGGCAGAAAAAAAAAGTTACGAGGTAGTGGTGGTGGGCCCTAAGCACAGTTCCCACAGGGGAACCTGCTCGATACCATGAGAAGAAGTGAACGAGAATGAATGAACTATGAATGAAGTGAGTACAAATATGAAACCCTAATTGGGTTGTACCCCCTATGGGATACCCCACTATAGCCTACACAACAGCATAAGCTATAATGTTCTGACACCCCGATGCATGCAGCAGCAACAGTCTCAACAACTGTTAAAATAAAACCGACGAACCCGCCCCCGTTCAACCCCAGCGACAAAGCCGTCACTGTGTCAGCTTGGTTGTTCGGTGTAGAGGTGTTTTTCAATGCTGCGCAAATTGCTGACGATGCTACCCGCATTAATTTTGCAGTGTCACTATTGCGAGGACCGGCGTTGGAATGGTGGAAGCGGACTCTTCAGCCAGAGGGGGCTCCGGCAGGGATATCACGTGCGAACGACGGGACCTGGGCATGTCACAATATATATATTTGTAACTGCCTGTAGCTGTAGTTAGTGTAGTTATTGCAAATTTTGTTAGGTGGTGCACCCTTTTGTTTCCTATGCTATATGTTCTTTGAACCTATAGTGAAACTCACTTTTCACCTTCACAACTTTCTCGACTCTCCCCCCTTGGGCCCAACTCACTCGATACCTAAGTTGGGCCTAGGCTCCTAAGCCTAGGCCCTTACGTTCTAATTTATTCGACATGTTATCGGAGCTAGGTTCGTCCTGGCCTGTGGGCCCACTTTACACTTCCGCTGCTAAGGTTTTCCGGTCGCGCGCCTAGGGCGCGTGACGATTTTATTTTTACATTGTCCCGCCCACGGGCGAGTGACTCCTTCCCTGCCCGTCGCGCGCCCCGTGGCACGCGACGGTGCCCTTCGTCTGCCCATCGTGCGCCCCGTGGCACACGATGGTGCCCTGCTCGTCGTGCGCCCCGAGGCACACGATCGGGCCCTTCTATTCTACCCGTCGTGCGCCCCGTGGCACTGGCCCGCGACGGGCCTTTCCACCCCTGCACTCCCTGAAGCCGCCCCTGACACCACTGCACCGACACCTTTTCGCCGCTCTGCGGCTTTCTTCCTTCCCACCCCCCTCCTCCTTTGTCTCCCTGCAGCCGCGGGGAGGAGGGTATGGGGGTGGAGGGTGTTGGAGTGTGGCGTCACCTCTCTCCCTTCCCCTCCTCCTTCTTTCAGTCCCACCGCTGCAGCTGCCGCTGGGGGGAGAAGGTGTGAGGATGTGGGGGAGCAGGGGGAGTGGTACCGGGGTGGCGGGTGTGAGGCAACATGCAGCCGTCCCTCCACCTCTCCTCTCTTCCCCCCCTTCTCTGCTGCTCCTGCAGCAGTGTGGGGGAGGGGAAGGAGGAGGGTGAGGAGATGGAGGGGGTGACCACTTAGTGTCAGCCCGCCTGCATTACCTGCTGTTGCTTGCTATTTATTTTGCATGTGTACACCTGCAGGTTGTATTCTACACATACTCCTGCTGCAGGCAGTTATGGGGGAGTGTCACAATATATATATTTGTAACTGCCTGTAGCTGTAGTTAGTGTAGTTATTGCAAATTTTGTTAGGTGGTGCACCCTTTTGTTTCCTATGCTATATGTTCTTTGAACCTATAGTGAAACTCACTTTTCACCTTCACAACTTTCTCGACTCTCCCCCCTTGGGCCCAACTCACTCGATACCTAAGTTGGGCCTAGGCTCCTAAGCCTAGGCCCTTACGTTCTAATTTATTCGACAGGGCAGCTGTCACGCAACAGGCAACTTCAATCTTCGGAGTGGCCACGATACGCACATGGACGGAGTGGGGCGCCGCGCTGCGAAGCAGATTCGAGCATGTATCCGCCTCGGATTCTGCTCGCATGAAGCTGCGTACCTGGAAGCAGGTGGCGTCGGTCCAAGATTACACGGCGACATTCTGCAATTTGGCTGACCAAGTGGACGATATGAGCGACGCGGAACGACTCGACCGATACGTCGCAGGCCTCAAGTACGACGTACAGTACGAGGTGCGACGGGCGAGGCCACGCGTATTTATCGAAGCCGTCCAAGTGGCCGAATCGACGGATGCGCTGATGCAATGGGCGAGAATGAGTTCCCGTGAGGGCACTCAATTTCGTGGACCGCCGCGCCAGCCCACAATCAACGGGGTGGATGCACCGAGGCGGGGAAACAACAACTGCTTCAACTGCAACCAACCGGGCCACTGGAAGAAGGACTGCCCGAAGCTGAAACAGGGAAACAGGAACGACGGAGAGGGGTCGGGAAAAGAAACGAGTCAGTAGCAGTCGGGCCACCTACTGACGAGACCCCGTCGCCCGGCAATCAACATCCACACCGAGTAGTGGTACCGATACGGGCTATCGACCGCAACCGGACGAATAAGGTGGATGAACACGTGGATCACCCTGTGCTGGTCGTGGGGAGGGTTAACAGGCATAAAATAAAATTATTCGTCGACGGTGGGGCGAGCCACAGTCTCGTCAACCTGGCGACGGCCAAAAAAATCGGAGTCAAGCTGGAAAGGTGTCTACCAGAGATTGATGCGCGATTGGTGAACGGAACACCGCTGGCGATCAAGGACGAGGTCCGACAAATTCGGATGAAGTGTGGCGACGATTTCGGGTTCTCCATGCGAATGCTGGCGACAACACTGGACGGTTGCGATGTGCTGCTCGGAAGGGATTGGCTGCAGCGTTTCAATCCGACCATCGACTGGACGATGGGAGCGATCACGGTGCTGTGCAACAAGGGGCGCGTGACACTTCCGAAATGGGCGGAGCCGGAGCCGACGACAACACGTGTCAACGCGATAACGCTGAAGAGGGCGATAAAACGGGGAGCGCAAGGCTACACCGTACAGCTGTACGAGGTGGTGGCTTCCGAAAAAATCGCCGACATCGACACGCTCTGCGCTGCTGTACCCGACGACGTGGCGAGCATAATTCGGAGGTACCCCGAAATATTCGCAGATGACCTACCTGATGGGCTGCCACCTCAGCGTCCGGAAGACCACAGGATTGAGCTGGAACCAGGCGCGAAACCAACCGTTCGGTCCCAATGGCGGCTCAGCCAACCGGAGCTCGACGAATTGCAGAAACAGCTGGATTATCTGCTTTCTAAGGGTTTTATCCGGCCGAGCACGTCGCCGTACGCCGCCCCGATACTATTCACACCGAAAAAGGACGGAGGCCTGCGCATGTGCATCGACTATCGAGCGTTGAATCGGGTCACAATCAAGTCGCGTTACCCGATCCCACGAGCAGACGACCTGCTGGATCACCTTCGCGGGGCTCGTTTCTTCTCGAAAATCGATTTGCGAGGTGGCTACCATCAAATTCGTGTGTTCGCCGACGACTGCCCGAAGACCGCATTCCGCACCCGCTACGGCAGTTATGAGTACACCGTGATGCCGTTCGGGCTGACGAACGCACCCTCGACTTTCCAGCTCACTATGAATGGAGTGTTTCGGGACATGTTGGATAAAAAAGTTGTTGTTTACCTGGACGACATCCTGGTGTACAGCAAGACTCGGGAGCAGCATTTACAGGACTTAGACGAAGTGTTCCGACGCTTGCAGCAGAACCGGCTGATTACGAAGGGCTCTAAGTGCGCACTATCTGTTTGGTTACAATGGAAAAAAAGGGTTACCATGCTCAACATGAACTGTAAACGAACAAATAGGACAGCCCTAAGAACTTATTCTCACTTTTCAATCGAGACGACCTGACCTGATATTTTTATGAACCATTCTCACTTCCGATCGTTTTTTTTTTTTTTTTTTTTTTTTTTTTTTTGATTTGATTTTTTAATGCCATTTCTCTGACTGTACCGAAAAGTGTGTACATAACAGATGGGTGTGAGAAGCAGGTGCCTACTGACAATGACCGCACGAGACATTCACCAGAAAAACAAGCCAAATGCAACACCCTTAAAAAACCTCATCAAAAAACCCAAACTGAACGCCCAGTCAGGACACCCCATCAACTGAACACCCAGTCAGGACACCCCATCAACACACCCCATCCCGCACCCCATTTCGCATTTGCGCATCCACCATATACGGGGCCTCCACCCAAAGAGCCCCACCCTCCTCCTCGACGTCGTCCTTCTCCCGGTCCACCAAGTCCACATTCATCCCCCCCATAGAAGACGCCGCTCGAAGCAAGATGACACGAGCTTGCACCCGTTGTAACGCTACCCCAATGAGCGCCTTTAGAGACCCCAAAAGATAAGCCGAAAACGAAAAGTCATCCTCCCGACAAGCCCCACGTGACTCGGCTAGCCCCACGTGTGCATCCCCCTGTCGTCGAAGCCACTGCCAGAAACGCCCGCCAAGACATCCCCACGTCTCTACTATCAACGGAGTGAACTGCACGCCCCGGTTGCGCGCAAGCAGAGGCGCGTAATCACTCGTTTTGTGACGCTCCCACTCCCTTGCCGCCACACCAATAGAACGACCGCACTGCCCTAGCAGAGATGGGGACAGCGATAGCGGGTTCGCGACGCTGATCTCTAGAGCGTGAGCCTCCCCGGCCATTGGTCGTCGCACCGCCACGTCAACCCACTTCCCCGGCAGCACCACACCATCCTCCATCGTCACCACCCCCCCTGACGCCTTAGAGATCCTCGCCAATGCAAATTTCACCTCGTCATGCACCCGAAATGGGCCGTGATGGTGCTTGCATCTCAAGGCATGATGCGGGTCTGCTGGGTCAACATACGCTGTGCCACAAACACACCTCCCCGCGACCTGCAGCTGCTGAATTGGGAAACCGAGCCGTATAGCAGCAGCAATGCCCCACTCCGCCGCAGTGAATGTGAGATCTGAGTGAGCCGGGACCGCCGAAACCCATGCACCAGCCCCCGGGCCCTGAAGGGATGTGAAACGGGCCAGGGTGGCATCGTCACGAGCCGAGCGGCGCAGTGCCTGGAGCTCCTCTACAGCCAACTGCCGCTGCCGCGCCTGGAAAAGTCGAAGAGGGGAAGTCGCTGCATAAAGAGGTAAGCCCGGCATCTCCTTGCGTATAGTCGCTGGCAGCTGCTCAATAGCCTTGGCAAACCAAGGGTCAAGAAGCTCCGCCCCTCCAGAGGTGGTGAGGTACTCTGGAAACATCGCCTCTTCCCCCGCCACCCCCAACTGCGCAACATCACTCGCGGCCTGCGCCCACCCACAAACATAGGACAGCGGGCTCAAAGAGGCCGCCGCCCTAATCCCGAACCCCCCGAGTCGCACGGGAAGATGCAGTTGCATGCGCGTGCGTCTAGACCGGTCGGGGTCCTGCTCCTAAGTGCCAGGTGGGAAAAGCTGCTCGAAGCAATCCTCCAGACAGCTGTCCCAATCCCTAAAGGCCTCCACCACCTCCGGACGCGGCGGCATAGTCCGGGCCAGGTACATCGGCCGTGCTGAAACTGCAATGGCGAGGAGATGTGAAGCCATCTGGGGGTGGTCAAGCAGGGGGAGCCATGGCAATGGCCCCTGCAACTCTCGAAGCCGCTCCCGTAATCGGGCCACCTCCCAATCCTCCTCCCCAATAGGTACGCCCACCACCGTGAGACCCTCCTCCACCCGCTGCATCCCTAATGGCAGTGCCCGCTCCACATCCCCGCCTTCGCGCTCCCAAAACCGGCACTTGTGCGCCTGCACCTCCAGCCCCACCCACTCCAACCGCTCCCGCAGCACCCCAAAAGCCTCTAAGATCCTAGCCGCTGGTCCCAGGATGTAGGTATCGTCCGCATAACTCAGGAAAAGTATATCCCTGAACCCTCTAATCACTGACGCCATCACTTACTGCTGCGTGAACGCAAAAAGAAAAGGGCCGAGCGGGTCCCCCTGCCGCGAACCTCGTGCCGACTCAAGACTCTGTACGAAAGGGCCCGCTCGGAGATACAAGTCGCTAGGTGACCCGTAGAAAACACGCAAGAATGGGATCAATCCTGAGAAAGGCGACTCCCGCAGCCCTCAAACATCGCCTGACGGTGAAAAGAATTGAAGGCGTTCGCGACATCTATCTGCAGCGCACACCAATCGGGGTGAGTGGCCAGCGCTGACCGGAAAGAATGAGTAAGAATCTCCACCCCGACCCTGGTGCCCGCTCCCAGCTGGTTGCACGGCAGAAAGTAGGAAGCCATAGCAGGGCGGAGCGAGATGCAAAGAGCTCGAGCCAGGATACGCGGAAGCACCTCCCCAATCGCCACCGGCCGGACGCCGCCGTTAGGCTTGGAAAGCCCGACTAGGTTGGATGCGGCGAGCCAGGGCCGTGCCCGCTCGGGGACCTGACCTGCCACCCATTGGTTGAACACCTCCAATAGGTAGGGAAGGCAGGAAGGTTACCACGCTCAACATGAACTGTAAACGAACAAATAGGACAGCCCTAAGAACTTATTCTTACTTTTCAATCGAGACGACCTGACCTGACATTTTTATGAACCATTCTCACTTTCCATCATTTTGCTGACATGTACTGATGATCAGAAATTTTCATCTTCGGGTCAGGTTGGGGGTGCGTCACCTGTATCGTGAAGTCCAAACCTGTTGACACGCGATCTTGGGATCACTGACACACCCTAGCGGCTTGCTGCAACCGCATAATTCGTTTCAAGCAGTAGCGACCAGGGCTGACGTTTCGTTTTAGGACTCCCTCATTCCAGTAAAAAAATTGACCCTCTATTATGAGGGCACAATTTTCGCAAGGTAGCTACCCTGATAGCTCAGTGTCACACGAAGTCCAACTCTGACCGAACAGGGTTCACAGCTCAAAAACAGGGTTGCTATTAACAGTGCACTATTTTTCAAAATGATACAACTGCATGCACTTTCCTACTCTATCTAGTCTAGTGCACGGGCTTGTCTATGAAGTAGACCTCCTCCACATCCTCATCGTCCGACAGGAATGGATTGTCCTCCGCTTCCTCCTCCCTCACGATCTCCTGATCGTCGCCGAAGGCCTGTTCCACTCCATCGTCCTCCTCCTCCTCCTCCTCCTCCTCCTCCTCCTCCTCCTCCTCCTCCTCCTCCTCCTCCTCCTCCTCCTCCTCCTCCTCCTCCTCCTCCTCCTCCTCATTCTCCCCGGAATTTCTAGCAGCCACATCTTCACCCTCCTTCTGCTTCCCCCTCCTCTCCCTCTCTGCCACAGCCAGCTTCAAGCTCTTCGCAGGACGCCTCCTCCGCAGGGACCTCCACACCTCCAGTGCCTCCGGCCAGTCGATCTCATACTTGAGGAGCGATATCTGCATCAGCTCCCCTAGACGCGCGTTGCACAGCGCTCCTCGCACCCAGGACTTGATGACGTTCTGCCTGGAGAACCCCCTCTTGCACTCCACGGTGGAGAGGGGGAGCACAGCCAGCGCCTGCCACAGTAGGATGAGGTTGGGCCATCTCCTGCCAGGCACATTCATACACACAACACAACGGAAACAGTTAGCGATGCGCCACAAAATTGTAAAACTCATGTTAGCAAAGTATAGGCTACCTCTTTGAGTCTGCGCTCCCAAGGAAGTTGGACAGGCCCTGGGTGAAGCTCTCCATCTCATGGTGTGCCTCCATGATCGCGCAGAAGGTTGGAAGCTCCCTCTCTACTGCTTTGAGGTCGAATCCCGGCAGCTTGTTGCGGAACAGCCTGCTGCATCCGTTCAGCCACTCCTTACACTTCTTCTCTCGCTGGGCCTTGATCTTCGGCCATTTCCCCGCCCGGAACAGCTTCGTCGGCCCCAGCTTCCCAAGGTCATCCAATCGGTTGCTGAGGTTGTCCACGCAGTCACGGGCGAATTTGCGGCACAGCTTCACGCAGTCTGCGTAGGTGCTTCCGTGTTTGTGCCCCTTCAGCTTCCGCTCATGCATGTTGTACAGGTGGTTGATCGGACGTCCAGCACCGTCCACGCCGCGCACCCGGACCTGCTTGCCTCCACCCTCCTTGTGGACCTTGAGGAAGTTCACCAGCCAGCTCTTCCCTTCACCCCCGAAAGCTTTCTCTGGCGTCAAGTAGCGCTCAATCAGGTAACTCGTTGTGGACTCGATCGTCTTCGCAATCTCTGTCACGTCCAGCTGTGTCAGAGCAGGGGTAGACAAGAGGGAGAAGGATGAGCAACAGTGCAGTTACGAACCTCACGTAGCAACATCATACAAACATGCGACCTCACCTCTCGTCTCTGGAAACAGCGGTTGAGGTCGTTCATGTTCGCCAAGATGTCGGACAAGAAAAACAAGCAAAACTGAAACTTGTAGCAGGTGACAATCTCGTACGCCTTGTGATTGTGCTCCCAGAGCAGCACGATGCAAGCGCCGAGGACCTTGCACAGCCTGGCCACCGCATCTCCTCGAGACAGCCACCGCACCGTGTGGATGCCTTGGACTTCCAGGTTGGTCTTGTAAATCACACGCTGCAGGTACTTGAACCGCTGACTCCACACGCTGGAGTTTCCGAGCAGAGTCGCCACAGTGCGCACCACCTTGTCGACCATGTCGAGATCCGGGTTTGAGTCAGCGGCGTCCTTCACAGCCAACGCCTCACTGTGTAAAGCAGGGAACAAGTATTATGGTTTGTTAGTAAACCAATCAGCGTAGATAAAATGCTACAATACAGACCAACTCACATACCGATGGGCAATGCAGTGGCATGAGAACAGATGAGGGGCGTGTTCACGAAGACGCGCCACCAATCCGTTCTCTCTCCCGGTCATGACCGACGCCCTGTCCGTGCTGATGCCGACGATCTTCGACACATCGACGGCAGCGGAGCGAAGATGGTTCAGAAGCACCTCAAACAAGGACCCTAAATCACACCGCTCGACCGTCAGCAAAGTGAAAAACTCGCATGCACCTTGGCGGTTCTTCAGAAATGTAAGGTACACAATCATGCGTTTCCCTCGCGTGCGGTCGGTGCTCTCGTCGCACTGGATGCCCAGGAACGGTGATGCCAGGACGTGGTCCATCTGTACCCGGGTAAGGTAAGTGCTCATGCTGTGGACCATCTGCTGGAAGCCATAGCTGCAACAAAGGACAGAGAAATTATCAGTACACGATAGTCAAGCAAGTTGTTTGACGTGCATGTTTAAATTTGCAAACAATTTGAACCATCACATACCGCGTGAGATAAACGCCGTACGACTGCCGGGGAATGTCTGGCGTGTCCTGCTCCGCAAGATGCCGCATCAGCTTAGGAAACATGCTAATCGGCGCGTCGCACTGGCACAGGAACTGAGTCGACCGCATCAGCCGTATCGCGCGGCGGCCCTCGACGTCGGAGTTGATGAAGTCCGAAATCACCTGCTGCCCCTCGCGGATTCCCGCCGCAATCTTCATCTGGCGGTCCACCGCCGCCATGTGTGCGTCCGTATGCTCGTGCGCCCGAAACGACTGCGTCTGCAAGTCACGGCCTCCGTCGTCTCCCTGCATGGCGTACCCCGTGTTCCCCTTACCATATGACATGCAGATGCTGCACTTCACGTACGGAAAATCGTCCTTGGTTTTCCCAAACACAAGCCAAGAAAAGAGTCCCGCCCACTTCGTCTCGTAATTAATACTCGCCTCCAGGTACATCTGCTCTCGCAGTTGCGTCTTGGTGAGTGCCGGCGAGCCGGTATCCGCGCGCACCGGGATGTCACCTTCTTCCGGCAGCTCAGCTTCTTTCTGTGCAGGCTCATTGGGCTTTTCCGGCGGTGGAATACGGCGGCCTCCCACCAGCAGAGTACTATGCGCCCACTTAACAGATCGCGCACGCTTGGGAGCGGAAGTAGCCGACGGCGGGCCAAGGGACACCCGCACCGTGCTTGGAGTAAGAGTGGGCGAGGGCGGTGGAGGATCTTTGCTGCAGCCAGCAACAGCCGGGGGAAGAGTGAACGGGACGGGAATAGGAGAAGCAGTAGGAGTAGGGGTAACTACAGGGGCAGAGTCGTGAACGGTAGAACTAGGCGGTTCAGGTGTGACGGGAGCAGCCGTAGGTCTAAGAAAATCTAGCCCAGAGCGGGGAGCATCCGAAGCTTTCTCCGGCTGGGACGGCGCTGTTGGTTTCGCTGTTACAGGCGGCTCGTCGGGGCCAGTGTCCGGAGCAGCTTCGTCGGCCGCCATGGCCTCCATTGGTGGCTAAACTGAACGAGAGGAAAATGAGACAATGAATGCACGTAATGGAACCAACACACCAGTGAACAAAGGAACGTTGGCTGTTGGTATGGGGAGGGAAGGGGAGGTTGGAGATGGCGGGAGCACGAAACCACCGCGCCGCGATTCCACGGACTTGATGGCAACATTCGACGATGACTTCGTCGTTGCATTCAAGGCCGAATTCATTCACGGACTCCTTGGCTGCCACCGCATGCTGTCAACAGGCCATTCTGGCCAATGGCAGACACATGCTGTGCACTGTGCGGTGCGTGTGGCAGCACCGTATCATTGATTTGGCTGCGTTGGCGCTGTTGCCAGCTGTGATGTACAACACGTCAGTGTTTCCCTTTGTCGGTATTACGTCACTCACGGGCGCGTGAAGGGGTACTTCACATGGGGCCACTCGAAGAAATGATTACGCACAAGGGGGTTATCGAAACGAAGCTTCTAGGAAACTTCGTCCCAATACCCTTGCATTCAGGGTCCTCGGAACGCATACCCTGCATAGACAGAGTCCGCAAGTACACTACTCTGAGCCTAGTTACAAGAATTCAGAGTCCGTTAAGTAGCTTCTCTGATTGGATCAGAGTTCACAAAATACAAAACCTGTGTTTGCAGGGACCACCAAGTCAGAAGCCTGTAATCACCCTGAAATCAGGGTAATTACCCTGATATCGTCAGCCCTG